CCTTCAAAGGTAGATTTAACCGTGATACATTAAACGTACCGTGTGTTGGACAAGATCCTTATAAAGCTAAATTTATTTATCGATATCACAAAAATTTTAAAAGTGGAGCAGTCGATGTATTCGATAATCCAATGGCTGCAGTGCCGTCAACGAGCAGGAGAGCTGCTTCAAGAGCTCGTCGAAAATATCAACGCACAGACTGCTCCGAGCAGGAGGTGGCTACAATAATATAAATAGAGAGGTTACCGCTCTGAGGCCATCTATGAGGGACAACGATTTCGAAAAGTCAAACCGTCATGGATAGCGACTGAAGCAAGTAGGTATTGTTTTAAACTAGGATCCACGATGTGGATTTTATACCAAGATATCGACGGGAGCTCTCTGTATTCTTTGGAGGTCGTGCAAGTATGTTTGAGTGATTGCACAAACTTTAAAAGCCCACGATCATTCGAATACTGCTCCACTGCTTATAAACACGTCAATAAGCATGTCTGATATATTATTCCACACAGGGCGGGAGCGTCATGGCGACCTACAGGTACTGTGCGAGAGCCATCGAGCTGTGTACGCAACATGCAGTAGAAATCATTACCGATGATTAGTCGGTGTTCATGTTTAGCGAAAGTGCGGATGATATTCAATAAAAGAGCACCAAGCACGCTTATTAGCCGATAGAGGCGAATACATTTACGACGAAAAAGCACTCTCGTAATGCTTAAACAATACTTTCATTTAGTTTCCCCACCGCAGATCCTATTTATGCGGAAGGATCACACACACTGATGAGTATGGTCGAATGAAAATTGTAGCCCCTTCCCTTTATTACTCAACTTTGTCCACAATGTCATCCCTAGCTTTTTCTTCGTATGAAAACTTCATGTCCTGATATAAAGGGCAACCTAAAGTATGCTTTCCCATCAAAAGTCGTCTTTTATTGATATGAACAATGTTATTGGGCCTACAATCACCGCGTTGACAAAAATGAAAGAATTACTCAGCGCAACGATCTACGAGTTCGTTAGTAGACCACGAAACCACCAGCTATGTCTAGACTCGTGGAGGAACTGGACCGGCTGACGTAGCGAATGAGGTGCTCTAAGTAAAGAAACGGTAGATTGCGTTGCTCTTTTATTGAAAATGTGAGATTTTTGTAGTTTTCGGGAGAACTACTGAATCCTACAACGGCTTTACGCACCGCCAATATTAAGTAAAATTGGTATCGGATCAGTCTGAGATTGGCCTACACTTTTTCTCTAGCTCCAGGTGCACCTACTGTTTATGGTAACGGATACCGATAATTCTGCGCCCTATTCAGGAAAGGACAAGCGCTGTGAACTTAGATCATCGATACCAACGCCACAACATGTAAAGAAATCTGCAAAAGTGCTGACTTTGTATTCGGCCTGCGAAAAAGGTTGACAACTTTATCAGCAAATGTACTGGCCTGGACAGACATTCTGGCAGTATTTTATTCGGATCTCTACAAATATTCAGGAGAATACGACCATATACGCAGGTGGAGTGCATTTTACGGAACTAATCGTTCATAGGTGCTAGCAAAAATATCGGCCAACGGCTGGATGGGTGTTATGTTATGCATTTTTAGAACGCCTTTTAATTTGAAGCTTTCTTATGCGGCGCACCTTCCCCCTCAGCGCGATTTAAATTATGAAAGAAGTTGTGGCTCCGACTACTGTTGACGGTATAAGTGCTGTCTTAAAGATCTCAATGGCGGATATTCTTCCGGCTTTCATGAGATTGTCAATATAGTCTGCTACAACCTTTTTTGAAGCCCTGGCTACCATTCGGGCCCCAATTTTATCGCACAGGCTTTTCTGTGGTGAGGCAAAGGAGACTTATGGTTAAGCTATCATTCGTTACCTTAAGCAATCTAATATCGCGGTATAACATCTGGACCATCGACCGGATGCCCTCCTCAACAGAGACGATTAACTTTCCTTCAAAGTTTTAGCAGGGCTCCCTCGTACCCTTTACCCACTACTATTATAAACGGCCAGGTTGAGTTCGCTCCTGGTTGCTTCATCATGACATAAATTTGCGCAATTATGCGAAGTGGCGAGAGATCTGGACGATGATGTAGCTGTGTTCAGCTGGGGTCATCACTACCGCGACTGCAACAAGATGGCTTACTGTGCGGCGACTATAGCCAAGGACACGTGTATCTCCGTCCAAGTTCAAATCCTTCCAGACGAATAGTAGTTGAAGAGCTGGCATCACACCTTGACAACGATGTCAAGCACCGGATGGAGACGTTTAAAAAAGAGCACGCAGATATAAGTGGGCCCACTTACACACAAAAATACCATTTTCTTGCAAAAAAAATCCTTGCACTGCGTGCAGGCGTGGTTCGTGGAACAATAGGAGCCTAAGACTAAAAAGAGGATCGATGTGTGCTGATTTAAATCACTACCATACTGGATATAGCGGGTCGCTAGCGTACCTGAACCTATTTCACCTTCTCACTCACTCTAAGTCGCACGATTCTTTTCGACCTTTTCACTCCTATTATATGCTCAAGTAGCTTGATTTTTTGTGCCAAATTGTAATTATGGTCTTTAATTCTCGTCGGAACATAAATTGTTAATTTTGGCAAGATCCAGGCAATGTGATGTGCTTTTCGAAATCAGGCAATGCTACAACGTGGCACTCCTACTGTATATTTATTGCACTTCATAGCCTGTAACGTTTTTTTGGGCGCGTAGTGGCATTGAAGGGATCCTCTCTATTTTTGGTGGTCGACGAAGACGATAAAAGTGTCCAGATATGCAGACTACACGGAGCTCTACATTTGAGGGAGTAATGACATATCATCAACCCTCTACATAATAAACCACATTTTTGGGTCTCTGATCTCTCTTTTAACCTCTCTAACTGAATGGTCTCAGTAATAGGATCATGTAATTATGTTCTGCTAGTCGACTCTTACGGCCTTTCGATTCTAGGGCCAAATAAGCTCTACTTGCATCTCGGAGTATAGACGTGATAGTGATACGACGGATTCAAACCTTAACAACTGTTTCAAGTCCTTTTACTCTCCGCTCTCTTCGGCTCTAAAAAAGAATTGCATCGTAGAGCATTCAACCTGCCTAACGCGAGCTAGCTGTACCTAAGATACTGTACGTCTCGCGTGTTAGCTTTATTCGCGTATTTTTCTGAATTCTTAAGATTCTATTGATCGTTTCGTGTAAGGTAAACCCAGTGAGCGACGCTCACGCCCATGGGTTCAATAAGAGCATGGTATGCTATTTGGTTCGAAGGGTAGTATTTCTGTACCATGCGTAAGTACATAATCATGTATGCTTTAACCATAAAGGCCTGAAAATGGGCCACGACGGCTTCGTCGAGGGATTTTTCGGTGGGATATGAAATGTGGAAAAATAATGACTCACGCTAATTATAGGTTATCCCGCAATAGGGTGCTGCACTATAGCAATCATTTTTGGTACTCTATGTGTAACCGGGGTCAACGCTGTTGCTGTCTCTGCTGCACACCAATTCAAGGCCCTCGACACGACAGTCGTTAGGAACAGGGCGGATCATTTCGACACCAAAGTGAGGCCCATACCTTTTCGGACTTGTCAATTTGTCATGCTCTTCTCGCGGAAGATGTGTACATTGTCTTTGCAACACAAATTTATATTTGTCATGCACACCTAATTTAAAATGAGTTGTCTTTTAGCGTCATAGACACTTCCAAAAAAGCGGCTCACGGCTTAAGCGTCGATATGATGGGCAAGTAATTCTGGAAGGTAACCACTTGTGCGGTGGAGTGGGTTGCCAAAACTGTTTGACGAGCCCCCGAACCACTCACTGTGCCGGACTACCGACTGTCAAAGGTCGTAACCTGATGCCGCTTGTAGACCTTGAGTCACCTTCTGTACTCGTCGGCTTGGTGGGTTTCATTCTTCGGAGAATTTGGGATGATGAAGACGTCGGCCCTGATGGAGGTCGACCTAAGGGGGGGGGGCCGAGCAGATGTGCTTCAGGCGGGGTTTGATGTAGGCGGTCACTCGATTGACTTGGTCGAGAGTGGTCTTATAACCAGTTGTCCCAGGTGCTGGTGGCGTCCGGTCTTTACTTGTCTCAGGGGTGTCAACCGCCTGGCCTTTATGTGTCTTCTTCTTTACCAATAGGGTGTAGAGACCGCTTCCTATACCACGCTTGATTTAAGGGATGCTACTCTACGAACCCACAGGCCAGAATACTTCCTAGGGTTCTACTTACGCTTGTGTCTTACTGATAACTGTCAATTCGACGGGTGGGCTAATTAGACCCCTGGCTCGGAACAGGTCGGTAGACTTACAAGTCTCTTAGCGAATGACACGTCGTGCTACTTCGATCGCAAATTGAGTAGTATTTGATGCTATCCTATCCTTTAAACTCTATATTTGCCTTGCACCTGGGTTCTCTATGGAGTGGCCAGGAGCCATTATACCTTAAGAGGCCAAGTCGAACTATGGGTCACCAGGTCGATCGATGGGTGGCCAGGTCGGCCCACGGGAAATTGAAGCCCATTTTGGGAGACCAGGCCGACCGAAAGCGGTTGAAAACGATTCATAGCGGTAACGTTTAACTGGTAACATCGGTCGGTATGAACCCGGAAGTGGTAATTTGAACGCTCGTCACGGTTGGAACCAACGGCCACTCTTTTCGTGTGACCTTCAGGTCTCCAGTCCTTTTCCCGGCCGAATTTTTTTTATTTCCGTCCGGCTCCTCGACCCTTAAGTCCATCATCTACGAATACTCGCTCGACCACACTAGCTTCCAGAAAAGTTTACCACGCACAGGCACGTGATCAAGAAGAAAGAAAGCATGCAAGGACGAGGTCCCGACTAGTGCGGTCCTGCGACGAAGGCGTGTACTGACTCCTCGGCACTAGCGCATGCATTACCAAATGAAGACGAGGGCACGCGAAACGAGCACGACAAGTCAAGCGCGACGGTGGCTGACCCGCCACCGATATCGAAACCATCCGGAGCATGGGCGCCAGCCAACGTAGCAAAGCTGAAGAAGCGCATCGCGCGGCAAAAACGGCGGTATCTGGTCCAGCTAAGGCTACGGATGAAGCGTTGTGGTCCCCGCGCTGCTTGGAGGCCCACGAGAAGGAGCACCGACTCTAAAATGAATGCGCCCGGAACAAGTACCGTGACCGCATGGACGGCTGTCAGCGAGCGATGCGCTCACTGAGAAACGTATGCTCATGGCGCGGCTTGAGGCATAGACCTTTTTCTCGGAGCTGCTGCAGTTTCTCGAAGAGACATATGTCGGTGCTGGAATAGACGAGTTTATCTTGTACTTCCGCAAGCTGCTCTGCTCGCTGTTGTATGTGTGTCTTTATGTCGGGTTCACGCTAACTGCTGCAGGCACCAAGCTGCACCTCGATCGAAAGCATCTGGCAGCCACGTAGTCCGAAGAGGACTTCGAGCCAATACGGGATTTTTTATGGCGCACCGATTGATTTATTATCGCTTTCTTAAGTGATTAAGCTCATCATCCGGCAGCCCAAGTAGCGCGGACGGACGCGATTTTTTGGATCGGAAAAGGGGTAGCTCGTATTTCGCGAGACAGAGGCGCTGTACACCGAAGTCCAACCGACTGGGTACGACACGCTGTAGCATGCTCTGGTCTAGAGCAGCCATGTGCTCTGCATGGGCAACTCCGTGGCCGCGCTAATACACAGGGTGATGAATGCGGCCACGACAGCGCAAAACGTCTTTTTAGAGTCGTTCTAACCGGGAGCCTAGGGCAAGTTCGGACTACACAGATGGGCAGTCACTTTTTCCTTCAACGGGTGCCCTGCATAGGTGCTACGGACGCGCATGCTGCTCGTCACTAATGCTGGCATAGTAATGGAAGCGGGAGTACATCACCAGCGAAACAATCATTGGATTTCGTGCAGAGCATGTTTGAGCCTAAAACACTTCCGCAAGGACTGATAGGCCACCACACCGATGGCATAAGCGGCTTCTTTTAACCATGACGTGATTGTCGGGAAGATTTAGACGCCATACCTACTATTGGCGTCGACGCCAAGCGCTTAAAATCGCTTCGAGATAGGCCCACACCGGAGGTAAAGCAACATTTGTTCGATGAAAAGTCGATAAAAGCGCATGAAGCGGCGCAGCGCAAGGCCAAATTGGTCGTCCGTGCTGCTGGAGAGGCAACGCGGCTCCGCAATGTCGAAGTGCGGAGAAGGTTGCTGATGCCAAGCGCGACCAGCAGCAAGCTGCGAAGGCCAAGGCCCAGGAGAAGGCAGCTAGAAACAATAGAAGTATTCGCTTCTCTATTGACAACAGCGAACTTCGTAGATAAAGCCAAAAAATATTCACCATTAAAACCTGCCCGAAGTGATCAGGGGACTGCGGCTGGCGACGGCTCGACGACAGCAGAATATGATGGCGACTATTTTTGCCCAACAACGTGATAGACAGCACGCCAAATGGCGAGGGTGACAGCACACCAGACGATGAAGGTGCCTCTACGCCGGACGGTGCAGACTCCCGTGCGGCGGATGGCGCGGGCACCGGCACGCCGAACGGAAAGGGAACCAGCACGCCGAACGATGTCAAGCCACCGACGACGGAAAGCAATGATGATCAACAACGTACGATCATAAACGACGACGCGGAGCCCGCAGACACGCTGATGGAATCGGTAGATGACACGATGCGTCTGCAAGATCTCGGGCAAGGCAAGAATTGGTCAAACGGATCAGCCTGTGATGACAAACACCTAACTTTAGGCAACATCCCGGTTACCATACCTCAAGCTCTTGCAGCTAATTTGACCAAGGGAAGCCGCAGGATGCGGGAGGGACCATAGACGATCTTCGTCTCGCAATCACCTCGTGTCAAGAGGAAGTGGACGACTTCTATGAAACGCAAAACACACAGCGAGCCGCCTGTACTCTCACCTGAACTATGGACGATCCGTGCGCCCGCAAATCGACTGCCGGTGCACCGGCATTGGTAAACACCCGCCAGGCTTGAGTCTCCGCAGCCGCAAGTAACGGGTCCACCAAGCCAACCAGCAACGCGACCGCCAAGCCAGCCGACAAAGCTGCCGCCCAGTAAGCAGGCAACTCCACCACCAAGGCACCCCGCTCATAGTCCAAGGCAGAGATCCCAGGAGCAATCCTGAGGTAGGTAACTACGCAAAAGCGCCACGTAAAACTGACCCCTTGCCCTACCGACTGCCAAAAAGAGCCTGTATCTGTGGATCGTGGACTGCAAGACCAAGGTAACAAGCTCATTACGGCTCTTCCGCATCCAATGGATTTTCCATAACGAATGCTTGGAAATTACTGCTGAGCTTTGGCCACGCGATCGACAGCGAGGCGCAGCTCGCAGTCATTCGCATTTACGCCGCATATCGCAACCTCTTAGCGAAGTTCCTAAAATTCTGCACAGGATCTGAAGCTGTGGCTGGCGTCCATGAGGGCTAGACCAGGTGGAGAACTACGGACTCGGTCGAAAGCAGTTTCTCTTGAGACAGCACGACAAGAAGCTTCTCTGCGCAACAGTCGTTCAGTTAGTGTAAAAAAATGAGTGGGGAGGACTCAATCGTATTTGCGTGCTCCTTCCCAAACTTGCGCCTGCGGACACAGAGACTACCGTGATAATGCTGCAAACAACGCGTCTTTATAATACACCTCCGACGCTTTGCGCGCAGCCATCAAAGGTATCTTCAGCAGTCCAACTGAATGGCAGCCTGATTATAATCTCATCACAAACGAGATCCAGGCGCCGCCGAGTCGGAACTCAAGGTGCCTCGGGTGCTCTTCAAGCTGCTTCAGGGCAGACACCGGTGCGGCTCGTAGCAAGCCGCAGCTCGCGCACGACTAGAGGTTTTCATGACTCCGATCCAGACAGCTTGAGAAACCATTGGACTGCACACGCGGAACGCTGCGGGACTGCCGAAGGATTCGATGCGGTAAATGGATTGGCTCTCTCATTGTAAGTAGCAGAAAGATCGTGGACCGGTGGACATCGTTCTCCTCCAAAAGACTTGAGTTTTGGAAGGGGAGGCGATCAAGATGAACGCGCGGTACTGAACAGTATGGTTTTAAGGATGAGAAGAAGAACGAACTGGCAATGTGAACTGATACAGAGGATCGACGAGTGGTTGTCGCTCATTCCCCTAGTCCGTGCTCTACCGTCACCGTGTTAATGCCGTGAACTGATGAGCTCTGGACGGAGCACTGGATAGCAGCACGGCTGAAAATCACGACGGCGACTTTGGCATCGCCAACGTCTAAGCGCCAATCGACAAACATGAGCGCGAGGTGCTGTTCGAGATGATCACTCTGATCGTCGCCCAACATCCCAGTCTGGTCCTACTTAGTGGTTGTTGTAACTGTACGCTCCACGCAAGGCTTGACCAATCATACGATGGTTCGGGGAGTCGACACGACTCGCCCGCTCTCCGGCACCTGCTAACGCGCACGAATTTGGTTGACAAGCTCGACGATGAAATGGAACAAGAGGAAGTAGAACGCGAACGTTATAAGGTTCACGCCGAGCGCACACGTACTTCTACCACTTGCCCCAAGGTACCCGAGCAAGCTCCCGATTCGATCGGTGGCATATCAGTGCATCACACGAGGACTGGGTGTGAAACATCAAGAATCTCTTTCCAGGACCTGTGAACAATCACATTAGGGTGACGATTTGAGTTGGCGCACCCTCACAGAATGTTCCGGTGCGGAAGCCTCAACGAGTCTGCCCAGTAACCGCGATCGCAGAGAAGACAGTCGCGCTAGTCATGGAGCGAGCACTGACGCATCATGACGCGAAGTAGACGGGGCAAAGGACATCGACCTCGCGAACACGGAGACGGAGCACCGCCTTGCAAGCTGGTGGGACAGCTGGAAGGCTGTGCTGCGCAGTTATATCCTGATCGAGTCTTGTCGCATCAAGCGCTGCATAACTCGGAGCTATATGTAACGGCTGCGCAGACTTCTCCGGTGCCTCAGTGCAGTGCACCTGGCGAAACAACTTCCGATGCAGTAGAGTGAAACACTATCCACGCGAGAATCCCGCACTACTGCGAATGAAACAGAATGACTCACGACGAAGATGACGGTGTGAATAAGCAGCAAGCTCAAAGAGCTCGAATAGCCGAGTGCCGACCCAGATGGCAGCAAACTAATTGCTAGCACCCGCTCCGATAGCACACATACTGTCCAGGACAATCATCTTTTGTTTTTCACTCGGGTGTCTTCAAATTTAAATTAACACGATTGTGTCGCTGAATGGGGTAAGGTCGTACGGGCAGAACCGCTCGATAGAGCTTGTGGACGAGATGGTGGACGGCATCATGCATCGGCATTACGACTCCCTCGCCGATACTGCTGCCTTTCTGAGCGAAGCGCCGCTACGGCAAGGTCTGGACGACACGGTAGTTACCGCTCCAATCAATACTGACGTCGTTGCCGCTGCGCTGAAGAAGATGGAGCGCGGCAAGGCTGCCGGACCTGATGACCTAGGCAACACCATTCATCGCGGCAATGCATTTCCGCTCGCACCGATCCTTGCGCCGCTATTCGCGCAATGATTCGAGTGCGGTGTGGTGTCGGTGGTATTTGGAGTAGACAACATCCAGTGCCCTGAGGATTAACCGCCGCGGCCCTGCTGCTGGACCACAGGCCCACCGCTCGTCTTAAAAGCAATCAAATCTATATACAAAGATCCTCGCTAGTAAGCTCCATACGCTAATGCCTGGGACAATCGACAGCGCGCAAGTCGGCTTTGTACCTGGTCGTGCGATCGACACGGCACTCTACATCTTAGCCGCAGCCAAGATCGCAGCAACGATTGACGAGCCGATGCGTCGGTCGCTCGAGATTCTGCTTGACTTCTCGAAGCCTAACGACTCGCTTTAACGATCATTAATACTTGCTGTTCACAAATGGCTTGGATTCTCGCGGAATTTTGTAACTATGATCGCCGTTCTCCACGGAAGTACGACCTGTCGGTTCATAGTGAACGGCTTCCTGCCACGGCGGCGTGACCTGTTGTGCGGTGACGACACAGGCGGCCGATTGCTTTGATCCTACTCATCCTCTTGCTCGACAGCCTGTGCAAGGTGATTTGTGGACGCAATGAAATTAACGGGATCATGCTCCGGGCCGGTGAAAGATCAGAGACGATCACTGTGTCTGGCTATGCATACGCCACGGAAGTGTGCCTACATAAAAGTGGTGACACCCCGCGTGGGCTAGAGATCCTGGACGTTTAAACTCGAGCGTCAGGCCTCGCAATCAAACATGCCAAATCCATCGTGGCTTTGCGTGTCCCGTACGAACCAGACTGAACAGTGAAGTCGTAAGAAATTACTCTGCTCGGGCCGAATGAGAAGTGCAGATATCTCGTGGTCCAAGTTGAACAAAGCAACACGACGGCATCGAGCTGATACCGATGACTCGAGGCGATATGGTCCCGACTCGCTCTATACCGTGACAAAGATTCACACGGTCGAACAGAGAGTGCATCTCGCACGAGCCATTGCCAACCTCAATATCATCTGCGTTGCGCGGCACTTCTGGCCCCCTACAGTCACTAAACCAAGCTTCTCGGCCTGATCACGGACTTCGTGTGAGGTAAGCGCAGTGGAATGCGGTCTCGTTCGTGGGTGCAAGAGGCACAAGCAGCACTGCCCATCCGGCGAGAAGGCATGTCCATCCTTTGCATCCGGACCGAACTGAAGACGCTTGCAGCCTCGACAGTCGGCAAGTAGGCGTCGTCCGCTACTACGCGAGATTCCTTATCAGAGACATGCTGTAAGGCGGCCGGGACAAAATTTCGCGCTAAATCACACCGCTTTAGGAGCTTGACTCGGGACCACAAATCCTGGTTTACTCTGGGCGACTGGGGTCGCCCGCGCGACTGCAAAACGCTGGAGGGACGTGACGACGGTGAAGATGCGGGCGGAGCATTTCGTAGCGAAGGCAAAGGTCACACACTACGTCGGCGGAAGCATAACGATTGACGCGCGAACGGCAGTGGACGGCACACCTCGCAATGAGATGGCCGTGGAAACCATTCGTAACGGTCGTTTCGACACGAGGTAGCCCCAGCACACGACAAACACGTTGTGGCTACTTGACCAACGCGGATATAGTTGAAGCTCAACAGCACAAGTTTTGCCCGCAACACGGCAAAACTTGGCGACACTCTCTCATGGTCCTGAATCGAGTACGGAGAAGTGCGGTTCACAACCACACACAGTATGGCAACGATGCCCATGGCGAAGCGACGGCACTTCGTTCGTTTTTTTCTCGCGCTGGTGTACAATTTCCGTCTCTCTTGCGCCGGCCGGCCGCAAGCGGAACACTCATCTCGGATCAGACTGCAGTCCACCAGAATCATGACTGGACGTTGGATTGAAGCGGCACGACGTTCTCGGACTACGACGTAGGCCAACCGTGCAACACGACCCGAGTACACATCATGACGGCGTGCGACCGGGCGACATCACGCTCTTGTGGCACTCCTGTCCGCTTCAGGTCATACTCAGCTCTCACACGCATCATACTTCTTTGAGCAGGGGAGAATCGATGGCGGCAGCGCCGTGGAGTCATGAAGAAGATTATCGCCCGACGACAACACCGAAAACCATCAGCAGCGTGACAAGCGCGTGACAGCGAACGAACATCGAGTCGTCTTACTTAGCGCAGAAATTGTCGAGTAGATGGAGTTGCGACAAATACGTGCAACGTTCCCGCGGGTAACATGGACGTTTCATCGGCTCAAAAGCAACAGCTTCCCTCTGGAACTGGGCTTCGCAGGACAGGTCGGGCTAGAGTCTCGAGTACCTCCACGACATCTACGTTTCCATCAGCCATGATGGTTAACGACAATGGCAACATCTCTCTGCGCTATGGAATCGTTTCGGCGGCTTCGACAATGCTGACATCCACATTTGGGTTTATGCTCTCCAGATACCAAAACGATTAAGCAACGCGTGGGAGGCGGCGAAAACGATGCTTGCAGAGAGTGAGAAGATCCGAGAGGCACGAGCGGCGGGTTTTGCGGTTGCACACGAGCTCTGGTGCTTTGCGTAAGCAGCAACGGCTCACGCGATCTGGATTAAGTGGCTTCGACGCATACAGGACCCGAAGTTGTAGGCTGAAGCACAATAGCACTCGCACAGACTAGTTTGCGGCGTGCGCTTGCACGCTTTCGCCGCTCTACTTACCAACTAGGTGGCGGCGAAGACGGACGCGTGGGGGCTCTCGTGAGATTAGCGCTCGTGGACGCTATCCTACGACACGTCGAACCCGGTCCACTGAAGACCTTGCCATCAGGTGACAAACAAATGTTCTGTATTAGACCTTATTCGACGAAGGTCTTGCGGCAACCCGGGCCCAGGCGGGTCCGGATCGGTAATTTTCCGTGTACACGTCCCAACGCACGCAGCGGCGATCACGTGGGTTGCGTTCATGGCATACATCGCGAAGACGACGACGAACAACCTTGCAGAGTACAGAGGACTTGTCTATGGCCTCAGAAAAGTGAAAGTGGGCGCCTTCGTGTCATTGCACGTAGTGAGCGACAGGTTGACGGTGCTCTCCCGGATCCGGATACCTCGATCCCATCTCGAGCCATAGATTGCAGCACTCTATCGCAAGGCGAGAGCACTTACAGAAAATGTCGAGGTCACCAGCTGGGCCCATTACTACCGCGAGTACAACAACGTAGCGCACAGAGCAGCCAACATCGTGATGGACACTCGAGCATCCGCTCAGGTGCTCATACCAACTTCTTTTCACCTCGTCCGCTCCTGGAACAAGACTTAAACCACTAGCTAGAGACATCGCTAGCCGCTAAAAGCGTGGAGATTGCAGGGCCGACAGTGACGGCGCGTAAGAGCGCAACCGTAAGACAACAGCTTCATCGGCGGCAAGTAGCCGTCTGAGGCCTTGCAGGTATCGAGTAAGCGGCGCTGCGGCTGATTCGCGGCACTACGGATATCTTAAATCCGAGATCCTACTCAAAAATACCTCGCCTTCATCATCATCATCTCCTTAACGTCATAGATGGCGTGCTACCAGCTCAACAATGCCAATCATGCCCACGGCAAAAAGTTGCTTAGTGACACTCTCCCTCGGACGTGGGTTACGCTTAGGTCCTTCGATTTACACTCTTCAACGGATTTCTATCTTTGGTCCTAGAAAACGAGGGAAGGTGACGTTTCTGCCAAGCACTCTTTCCTCAATTGTCTGGCTTTCCTCAATGACCCACCGTATCTTCCTTGTTATGCACAGTCTGGATAATGCTTCTAGGCATGATGTGTAAACGCTTTATTGTACTTGCACAGCCATCACATTGGAATGATGTCCAAACATGCGGCTCGGCGGCTACGCTAGATTGCGATCGAAAAGCCACTTGCAACTGCGAGTATTAAAATATGCTTCATGGTGAACACCTCGATTGCACGCATCTTTGTGACCGCGAATTAATCGAGAAAGATGGATGCTTGTTGCAAAGACATCAAGACGATAATTATGGGTATCGCCAATCGAACAAATGAAATTAGGTGTAGCGGAGCTACCACAGCTCTAAATCCAGAGGGAGCATTTACGGGTTAAGCCAGAGGCTTACGGCTAACGGCCAATTAGTTTTAAGGAACTACTGTTTTGAGTTAACGAGTCGGCTAGTTCTGCGGAACTTAGCGCGGACTCTATGAGCTATTAGCTCAGAATACTGTAGTTCTAAGGAGCTACACGCACTATGTGCAAAGGGGGATACTGGAGTATAAGAAATGTTTAACCCATGACAGTTTTACGAAACTGTCAAGCGCAACGTACGAAAGGGTAGAAGCCTGCGGACTTCTGCTCAAAATAAGAACTGGATTTATTTAGATTTCTTATCAAGTAAAATCCTACTTTAAAAAAACCTATATTATACCAAACTAGAACCAATGCAAATGTTAGTAATCGAACTAAATGGGTGTTTGGCACATCACTCATTCATCAAATGATGACGGTACAAATTATTTCTACGGTAAGCACCGTAACTCAGAGAATACCGACTGATCGGTATTCTCCATTGAAAAAAATCTAAGCCGATGGCTTAAGCTACCCAGTTACATAGGAGGTCGAATATCTCGACTTAACTATGATTTCCGACTGTGCTAAGTGGACTGACCTAATCAGAAGGCGAGCAGTATTTCTGCAAGTAATGCGGACTGTTTTCCGCCTTAAAGCCAACAGATTCCAGCTCTGAAAATGCCTACAGGTCACCGGTCCCGCTCTGATCCTGCATGCCTACCAGGTGCTCTCACGCCTGCAATTCACTACCTTAAGACCTGTGAAACGGCACAACATCATTAGAAGAGTCTACAATAACCTGATATCAACTGAGTGACGTACCCAGCGTAGATTTTCTTCTACGCCTGTATTCTTTTGACTTCATCAAAAAAATTTAGGTAATGCTTAGAAGGCAGCTCAATATCTCTATCTCGCAGTGATAAGATTCTCGATGATAGAGTAGAATTTGTGGCTGCAAAAGAGTGATGGCGATTCATGGAATCAACGACTACGTACACTATTCGGACGGGACGACACTTCCGAATGGGTGACCCAATTTACCACGAGATCTGCATGTACTGCTTCCTGGACTAGATTAAGACGCGCCCCAATACGTTTCCGTAGCTCTTCCTATCAGCAAGGTGCCGTAGCAGGTGGTCAGGATATTTCAATTTTGCGTTTTGCTTTAGGAACTGCTCTGTTGCTGCACTTTGACCCAGCCCCATTGCGAGCTATTTCGGCAAACGCGTACTAGGATTTCCTTTATCTCATTTTCTTCACTAAAACATCCTAAGATTACCTAGGCCCCTGTGTGTCCGAGTCAGTTGCTGAAAAATTCGTTGTGACTACACATGCGGCGACGACCAGTTCGGTAGCCACTACGGATTTCGGCTCCACACGTATGACGGACGCTGTGGCTTCATACTGAATACTCGCCAATAGAATTAGACAAGCTCAACTTCAAGTTTTCGTAAAACTTTATTGCGTCAGGGATAGCAGGGTGGTCATAGATAGAAATTTGAGTACCTCTAGGCATACTTTAGTCCAGGCTTTGTAACTTTTACGTGAGGACCGGTATATCGCAGGTCCTCTTCCTGTGATTAGTCGAAGTCACCACATTTACCACTACAACAACCCCTTTTTGATTTTGCAAACTCTTCGTTAGGTGTCGAAAGTGTCGAACGTAAGGTTGCCGAGGATAAACAAGGGACCCCAGATTCCATTCTGTCAGATGTAAACTATAAACGGGCTTTGGCGAAGAGGAACGTGCAAACACGTCACTTTGCGAAGGTGATGGTGTCGGTCGGCAAGGCGCCGGCGAAATCTAAGGCTCGTGACGCGCCATTTCAACCGGAACCTGAAGTCGAGTATAGCCTCAATGTGGTGTTTCAGGACGCGAACGGTGTCGTGGAAAGTTTTCAGTGCCATTTCTGCAGTTTCCAGGGCCAGAAGGAGGTTTCTGGTGCCGAAGGCAAGCATACCCAGGAAACCAAAATATTTGCACCACCTTACCGAACAGAAAACTACCAATTCGAGTACAAGAGGCCCACGGGGGGCAAGTAGACCGACTACAAGGCGATTTTTTGTTCGATGTGATGAAAATTTCTTTCAAGCGGACGTAGTTCATTGATCATTTTTCTTCCTTTTCAACGACGCAAGCTCCACGCTAATATTCATTCACAACAAGTGAGCCCATTGTCACATTTCTGATTGGCGAGCTGTTCCTTAACTCCAAGGACAAAACGACCTTGGCCGAGACAGCGCTGAAGCATTTTAGGTGTCAGGAGAGCAACAGCTACAGCGTCACGATGAAGACGCCGCTTAGGTATCAGCTGGCGACTCAGCACACGTCAGCCGGACTGTCGTTCAGGAAGACCGCCACCGTCATTCAACAGCACCAAAGCTCACGAAGAGCGCAAAAATGACTGGGGCGACCGATGCATAAGTTAGCGACTACGTCCGTATTTAGTTGCGGTCAGCATGCAGAATCTCAGTAACCTGATGGCAAATCCGTCCATGTGGGCATTCTTTTGTGCATTCGGAATGGGAACTTACATGGTTATTCTTTTATAAACAAGCGGCTGCGTCTGGCGGTGATTATCACATACTTCGTCAACCTGTATTTGCTGTCCATTCCTATGTTCGACCTGCACACAGCCGTCAACCAGGTTCATCTGATCACAAAGGTTATGGATGTTATCAATTCCAGCTGGCGAGAGAAGCCTCTCTTTGGTTGTCGAGAACACCATGACAGGTTTTCTCGGCGGAGTCATCACTCTTCTCGACGAGCAGGCGACGAACGATATTCCACGCGTCAGGTGTCCGGCGCATCACATGGATCTCGTCATGAAGCGGGGTTCGCCATGATTGACGATATGCAATTCGCTGGGGTAGCGAACAACGGACTGTGCATCTGCGCATTCACGTGAATCTGATCAGCAAATTTGGCTAGGCGTGTCCGAAGGTGACCAATCCCTAAATGCACATGGCCAACACACTCGATTAGGTGCTGGCCAAGTGCTTGTGTCTTCTGTCGCATATTAAGAAAAAGCCCACGACGCGCTTACGGTGGTGTGCTATATTGAAGCAGCAGTTGTTGCGGTGGTGAAGGTCATGGTGAATGAAACGTTTGCGAAGGTCCAGACAAAGGACATGATTTTATTGCAGCAGTGTAATGAGATTGAGCAGATGGTGCATTAGCTGTGCATTCTCGTCTCCGCCGAGCTATTGCCCGATGACCTCAACATGGTCGACGCAGGTTTCATCAAATCCCTGCGTTAGTGGATACCTGCGAACACCTTGATCAACTTCATAGAGGATAAGGGTCCATTCGTCTACGACCTTGTTGGTGATCTCAGGCGACAGCAGGATGCCTCTTCAATTTATCCTGCGGCCATGACGACCGCGCTGGTTAAGATGCCGCCGGTATGATTAAAGCCAAGGTACCCGACCCACTCTGAATTTATATAGCGAAGTTCTGGTCTACAAATTAGGTCGAGGTCATTACAAAGATCACCTCTCACAGTGCCGAGAGTACATTGTCAAAAGAACACGCGTAGACCAAGATTGACCAACATGGTCACGAGACGAAATTTAAATTTGCTGGGATGACGTCCAGAAATGCGTATCGGACGTTCGTATCGTTGTATGCGGCAGTTCTGTTGCAGAATAGACACCGTGATCACCAACAGAACTTCGAGGGAGTCGGATTTCTCTATATTGAAGCTGGAAACGGACGATCGGCGCACGATTTTGACTTGTCTGGCATTGGAGGGGACATTCCAGGCTAAATAAACAGTTCGACCTGCCGACGCGTTCATAGAAATAAAAATTGCGCTTTAGGTTGATGCATAGAAACCCGTCTAGCGCAAGCTCTATTACTTCATGTTAAATTACTTCAACGATGCGAATGTGATTAACTTCGGCCAGTGCCAATTTTAAGACCAGGAGACGTACCAAAATTAGTTTCATCTCGGTAAGATTTGGCGCTCGTCGATTTTAAGGAAGTCTGCACTACAACCTAATATCTTCCGGTGCAAATACTGAGGCATTTGCAAAATGAGGCATTCCCTGTGGATACGCAATCTTCACACAGTTTCTCTTGCTTGCTCACTAAGAGCAAACATGGACCACAATGTGAATTGCTGGTGCAAATTGTAGCTTTCGGCAGAACTCGAGCTCCGTCCAGGATCATCTGCGCCACCTGCACGTTTTGCCACACCTTATTAGTTCTACTGGACAATGCTCTCCTGCCCTACACGGCGGCCTCAGGATGAGACCCTCACATTTAGGCAACGTAGTTATCAGGTTGCTGTCGAACGGATATTTTTTATGTCGGTGATCGTACTTCAATACATCACACCAACCCTAACATAATTGTTTCTACATCGCATCGGTTTATTTCAAACAAGGATAGTTCGGCTGGAGAATCTCAGTCCCGTAGGCATCTAGACATATCTGCCCAATCGGCTGATGTACAGGCATGATTGGATACCTGCATCCGACGAAGTCATCAAAAGCTCTATCATCGCGCGCACTGAGTCTGTATCGCGATGTTTTGTCATGTGTCTCGCAGCCAAATTCTCCGATTGACGACCTTTTCGTTCCATTTCCGTCTCAGTATCGCAAACAACTTCTGTATTCGAAGTAAGAGCGAGAAGAGATCGATGGTTGTGTTGTCGGAGTGTGCTGGACAAAGTGTGGAGATGAGAAGTCTGACCGAATGAGATTCTGGGTAGCCTTCACTGGCGTCTTCACGACTTTGAGAACATCCTTTGCTAAGTTCGCGTCTAACCAGCCTCGCATGTGGTTTTGCCAGGTGCTTTTGTGTGTCGATGGATTTGGTGGAAAGGAACCACAGTTCAACGTAAAGTCTCTTTTGAACTGGTTGTGGTCAAGAAGTTCGTGTCGTGCCTCTCGCGCTGTTGACCAGTCAAACATGTCCGACTTGAATACGGACGGTCTGGTAGTCCAAAAGCAGCAGAAGGGGAAGCCTTTTTCTACGTTAAACAAACAAGGGCTCGCGGCAGCCAGTTTCAGGACTTGCTCAGTCAGCGTAGCATCGTTTCGATGGAGTCACAGCCAACCCCCACATCTTTCAGGATCGTTAGTTATTTCGTGTCGTAGCAGAAGGTTCTGTGGGCCAAGATGTGAGCGACACCAATTTCTTCCCATGATCACTTCGTTCTCTCCCTTTTAGTAAGAACAGCGACTAAACATGCACATCACAGCTAAACGTAACACGCCAGGAAAAATGTTTTAGTGACTACTACACTTACTCACAAAGCGAAGCGCACACTTGATACAGAAGAGCTCAGTAACCACTTGACCAGTCCACTTGATACAGAACAGGTAGTCCCTCCAAGCAAAGGTTGAGGTTTTTCACAAACCAGGCCGCAACGTCCTCTGGAAACACCGTTCCAGCGATATGAGGCGTTACAATCACCTTCGGATGCGACCACAAAGGGCTTTCCTTTGGCAGCGGTTCCTGCTCGAAAACGTCCAACACGGCTTTCGACAGCAAGCCCTTGTCAAGTGCGCTGATGATCGTTTCTTCCGAAATGACGTCGCCACGACCCACATTGACGAATACCGGTCGCTTGTTACGACAAACATCAAGAGTTTCTTCGGTCAACAAGTAGCGGGTCGCCTTTGTGCTAGGTAGGACATTTACCACGTAGTCGCTCTGCTCGAGCACCTCAGTCAGATGGGTGGACACACTGTCAGCACTTGAGACCAGCAGCCTCTTATCTCCGTTCCGAATTCGGCGCTTGAATCCAACCACCTTGAACCCGGACGTCTTGAACATACGTCCAATCTCCTGCCCAACTTCACCGAGACCGAGGATACCAACGGTCAGATTCCGGTACGAGCGGTACTTGAGGTCCCATCGGCCAAATATGCGCTGGTCTTGGTACTTCTTTGCCTCGAAGAACTTGCGCTCAAGCGCAACGACATAGCCGAAAACAAATTGCGCCAACGCTGAGGGCATGATCCCACCTGCACGTGAGACCGTGAAGCCCACATCTGCTGGTGAACTGGAGTACTGGAGATAGGAGTCCACTCCGGCGTAAGTGCCTTGCACCCATTGCACCTTCTTCAGCAGGTGCTGTAGCTCGAAGGGTAGGTTTGTCTCGGGGGCGAGTAACAGCGGCGCGGCAATATGAGCGTCCATTAAGATCACCTCGGCGTCGTGTAGAATTTGCTGCTGGTCAGGGTCAAGCGCCCACTGAGTGGTTTTTGAAGCGCCATTACCAATCGATTCCTTTGGCTGGTGCTTGTTTCGAGCATCAGAGGGACGGACAACAGGCATAGGCAGGTCGACGATCTCGAGCTTCGAAGACTGGTACAATTGGGCTGCGACGGACGAGTCCGTCGAAGACGAAAGTTGTTCGCGCACGGCTTGACCAATGCCGGGGATCATGGAGACGACGGGTATTTGGATTTTGTTGCCAGTCATCGTGGAAGGTGGCAAGTTGGGAAATGCGTTGATGGATGTACGTGTGAAGAGCACTGGACTGCACAGGCAGAAAAAGCGCGACAATCTAGTCGATTGTCATTGCGTCAGAAAGTCTGTCCGCTGTCAGGGACGCAGCCACAGCTGTACTATTTGACTTCTTCAAGTAAGAGACTGCTGACGAACTGGACGTTAGAACCACAGGATCGGGTCGTCCCTGCAAATCAACCAGTCGTTGTGGCGTTTAATCGCGGGGGCCTCAACTGATTAGCGATGTAGTCGCGGTACGTGCGCTGAGTGGACAGCTTGGTGTTCACTCGGCGCGCGTAACGAAAAAAAGATCATACACATTTAGATGCCGAGCATCGTGGTGGTGAAGAATATCGAACGACAGCGAGACACACTCCTACTTGATCGATGGGGACATTCTGGTGAAAAAAGATGAAGTGAGGAAGCGCGAATGAGGCCGGCTCTGGAAAGATGGAGAGTCAAGTATCACCTTCGCTCGTAAACAATGCTTGCAGTGTTGGGCATAGATGCGCAATCCCTGGATGTCTGAACGACTTGGTTTATAGACGCCGTTTCAGCTGCCCAACCCGATGTCAGACGAGTACGGCGCTTCATTGCGTCTTGTTGAAGTCTCCAGTTATTACTAATGCCGGACCATATTTTCATCAAAAAGTGGTGCTAAAGAGGTGAAATGCGCCGAATCGTGCTCGAAAACAAGAAGAGGCGGTATCTATCATGCATATCGTGCGACCTCTGCTCCAGTCGGAATAAGCCCATTCTGCGGCGGCGACGACGTCTCTCCCGGTGCGCAAAAACAAGACGAATTGTCGCATTTCAGTTGGTTGGTCGTAATTCATGTACCCGTAAATTTGCTGCGAGACTTCTTGCAACCTGACATGCACCAAAATGAAGTACAAGTGCTGGATAGTTCAGCGAGCCCGTGACCAAATCGACGCTTAAGAACACACATAGCGCTCTGATCACTCTTTGTAGAGTAGCTCAAGTGTAGAGGTGATTGCGCAACTGTTCCTTGGGCTTTCGAGTCTAGTTGTGCAACAACTGTACGAAGTGGCGGATAGAACGCAGGGGAAATGGTACCAGCGCAAGAGAAGTCACTTGCGCCGGAACCCGCAGTAATCCGCAGCTCAGTCAGTCTGCTATGCATTGTCAGCATCAGACTGCTGCGTCGTGGAAAATTGAAGTGCCTGAATTATTAGTTTAGCTAGCAAACGCAATTTACCCGTGATTGCGATCGGATGCCGAGGTGTTGTATGTCGACTTTGTCCTCTTCAATAAAGCGTCGAGGAATAATAACGACTATTCATGATCCGAGAAGAAAGAGTGTGGAGTCTCATTCGACCGGCGGAAATGCGAGAAGTTTCATAAAGTGTCTATGTGAAGGTGGAGATAGTGCGTATGCGGCGGTGGAAATGATGCTCGTCCGAATTGGGAAGGATGGACGCTTTTACGGGAGGCAAGGATGCCTGACCTCTGCTACGACTTTTTTTGGCTTTCCGTCTTCCGACGGTAGTCTCCCAAGCGGATAAGAGAGATTGTGCTGGGCTGACCACTCAATTCCATGCGAGAAAGCTGATTGACTTTAGCTGTCACTTCTTCACTAGATCTGTCACTCTCTTTCCACTTATGCTGATGGCCATTTTTTTTTACCAAAACTGAACTCACCTTGAGAGTTTTCGTCTGAACCGAGTCGTTTAAACATTAGCAGCCACTGTTTGTGATCGATTCCCTGGGTCCACTGGACTGTAAAGCCCGGGGCGACCGATGTGTTACAATTCCGCCATGCGTGGCAGTTCAGGTGGATCCAGTTGCATGCCCACTGTTCCCGTTGCTAAAAAAGGATCAAACGGCTCGATAACGTGTCAGTTGATCAGAAACAGATGCTCCACGTTACCTTCTAACAAATCCTCTTGAAATGACACAAGACCTGCGTGCGTGCGACCTGATCGAGCTATTCAGTTCGCAACGACATCACCTAGATACGGTTACGCGCGGAATCGAGATTTCCGTCATATAGGTGCGGCTGATGAGACGCTTGCGGCAAGTGACTCCCTCTATCCAACATAAATGATGTGATTTAAGCAAGAAGCGCGAGCGGATCACTGCCACCGTAGGTAGTTTTCCACGGTCAACGCTTCCTAAAGTGAGCTTTGATTGAGGTCTTGGTTCACTTCTCGACGGCTTCAATTAGTCATTATTGGGTAAAAGCGACAGATTTGTGATCGTGGCAGCATATGAAGGTGCTAGGCAGGGCTGGCGCCACGGATTTTTTTGCAGCGGAATTTCATAGGCTTTATAGAAATTAAAAACCAATGAGTTGAGAATCCTTAGAGATCTAGTTTTTTGTTTCATCTCTTGCGCAGTCCGTGGCGCAGTTCTCTTCAGTCAGCCTCACACTCGTAAAAATGAGTCGCATCATGTCCGACTTTTGCGGTGATGGCACGTGTGTATCTAGGCCGGGTGAGATAATGGATGATGATTGGTTCGTTGAGGTGTAGGTCCCAGTCGTGGATGAAGCACTCGAGCTAGTCAGGAAGACAGGTCGGAGTCAGAGCATGGTACAGGGATACTTTAAGAATGTTGTGCAGCCGCAGAAACTTAATGCCGCGGTGTGCAAACATTGCGACATATTATCAATTATCGCAAAAAGAGTGAGTCCAGGATAAACCATTCAAACAAGTGCTCCGAGATTCGTCACGTTATAAACGGGCTCGAGATTTTGGAGCGCCTGGATTGGTTCATGTCCATCAAAAATTGGCGTCCATGCGGCGCAACCTTGTCAAGGCCATGTCAATCTTGGCGTCATCTCATGGTCAGCGGTCCATCAAGAAGTTTTGCTTACTTCGCTATCACGGTCAGAGAAGGAAAAGTTCCAGGTCTATATATCCATGCACTACTACGCCACAGGGGCGTCTTTCCAGCGCATTGAAGATGTTCATCTTCAAAAGCTGTCTACGTGATGCACTTTAGTGAAGACATTATCCCGAATTGAAAGAACGTTTGTAGACAAACGTCGACAATCACATGAAAGGCGCTCGTATATGTCTTGTAGCGGATGGCTGGTCGAACACCAAGAACGACCTTATCATCAACTACATTGCCACGTCTCCTACAATCTGATTTTTGCTCGAGTCAGTGTCTATTAGACAGCAAGGTCGCCGACTAAATCACACAGGGCATCACGCACGTATTCGATAACTATGCTCTGTCAACGTTCTGTACGGCGGTGACTGACAAAACTTCGGCGAATAAGAATGCCTGGCAGCAGCTTAGCAAGGCGTTTTATTGCGTTACTTCAATGAATGTAACGCAATATGTTCTCCGCGTCATAAACCAGGAAGGGCAACGACCAGGAAGGGCAACGACAATGAGGCTACGTATCCTGTGGGATATCCATTTGTGAACAGGCTCATCTTTTTTCCGCGTGCGAGTATCCGGTAAAGTTGTTCCACAATCATCATGTCGTAAAGACAAGTCTGCAGGAGGCGCAGAAGGCTGAGTCCTTCTGTTATCTCGTTAGATCTGCGCTCACTCGATGGGGGACCTTTCAAGCCATGTGTGCTTCGTTGTTTGCACCAGAGCGCCTAATCTACAGCATCGTTAGCGCCCGCAAGTTGGTTGTCGGTACAGCTGCGCAGCAGTCTGAGCGATAGAATGCCAAGGACCTCGTCACCGGCAATGACTTCGTCTCGAAGCCAAACATGTTCTTTGCCATTCTCAAGCCTATCAACGCGCTAATTGTCAAGCACCAATCTGACAGCGTACCAGTTACAGAAATTTCACCGTCTCTTCACGCTTAACCGGAAAAGTTCTATGATCTCTATGAGCGAGCAGTCATCACTCAGTTGTAGCGGCAGTATTTGACAAAGATCGCGGCTTCCCGCTCCATATTCATGTATTGTGTAGCGGAGCTACTTGGCGCTCCTTTTCAGAGGAAATCTTAGAATCAAAGAGTCTCTTAGGTAAAACAAACTAACAACGACGTACAGTCGCTCAAGCCTACAAGTTTAACAATCCCGGTTACAAAGGGATTTCGATTCACAGTATCACACACTAACTAGTCACTGCTAGCTAAACAAGAGCAAGCGCCTGTACAAGGCTAACGATCTAAACAACACACTAAGCCTTGACTAGGCACTTGTGTCCGACGATTCAAAAGGGAAACTGAATCTTTGTCCATTATTTTAACTAAGGTAATGAAATCCTAAAACCTTGCCTGACTTCTACATTGCGATCCTATGACAGAATTCTTGTCCGTTATCCTTACTCGATAAGATGCGGTATTACCGTAAGTACGTGGTACCAATACTGTTTCACTCAGATCCACCGACCTTTACTTGGTGTGGACACACAACAGTGCCGGTTCAGATAAAATATTCGCGTGTCACCCCGTTACACGTATGGTGTAGCGCACGGTATGTCCTATCTCCTCGACCCTTGCCTTCTTGGCGATGGGTTGCCGCCACCCGATATCCTTGAACTCGAAGACAAGCTTTGTAACACTCATGTTGATGATACCACGCCCGTTGACGACACTAGACGGATGTTGTTGAACATTAAATTGACTGGCTTCATGATCCCGGTGCGTCACGAGAAGGCTACGAACTCATACCGGTTTCCGATGCTGACACAAAAGGCGAAGACGGCACTGTGATACTGGCTGATGGATGCTGCCCAATGGCCGAATCTGCAGCCCGTAGAAGCCAAGCTGATCTCGACAGCAACATCCTGCGCTGCATCGAAACGCAACTTCTCCACAATGGCGTTCATCTATTCAAAGCTTCGTAATTCACTTAGCGTGGCATCAGTTGAAAAGCTCGTCTTCATAAAGAGCAATATGAGTGCCTTCCACGATATGCAGACCGCAAAGTACTGTCCATCAAATGAATAAGGCGACCCCGACGACAGTGATTTATTAAACCAACAGAACCTTGTAAAAAAACGGTTTAGTTTAGGTTAAACCAAAAACCCGATGAGTTCGCAAAAATGGGAATTTTATCCATTGTAACGGACACCCTGAAGCTTGTACTGGTGACAGTACAAGCTACTTATTCTGATGACAGAATGAGGCGGTGCCTCGTAACTTCACGTACACTCGTACGTGCAGAGGAAGACGGTAAGAAGAAGCGAGTACTTGGTTAGAGTAAAAAGTAGAACTGTATTTATAATAGTTAATGTCTGCAATAAATCACTATTTATCTTCATCTAACTATGTCTAAATACAAATGTGTAAATCAGTTATCTGCTCACCACTCATTGCGTGCGTCTGTCGTGGCACGTCTTCGTTGGTTGATATAATGGCCTATATCAACCAATTAGGAACTACTTGTAAGTGCTACAGAATATTTGTCCTTATGACAATATTCTGAGAATATAACTCTTATAGTTATATTCTATTAACAATTTCTTATAAATTGTTATGTAACGATTCACCCCGCTACATCACCCCCCCTTAACCATCAGTCACTTTAGTGACTGATTGACTAAATGGATACTCGTCCCAAATCATTTGGGACAGGGTTTGCACTTGTTGGTCCGCGTCCACTTTCCAACATCTCATCGCATGGTTAACAAACCCATGCGATGCGCGAGCAAGGCCGCCGAGAGCGCGTCCGCACAGAGACGTGCGGACGCCGAAGCAGAAACAACAGCAACTGATGTCTCATCGGTTGCTGAAGCGACCCAGCCTGTGTCACTTGGTGATGCAGGCGCTGGTCATGAAGACACTCGTGTCTTCACAGAGTACGAGCTCGGTGTCTCGTACTCTCCTGATACGGATGACGGATCCGTATCGACGGCGATTGAATCTAAGCCGCCTGCCAAGCGTGGCATGGACGATGCTTTGCGTCGCAGCATCTTTGGTTCATCTGATTCATCAGATGAACCATCACCGAAGCGAAGGCGCTCGAGGTCGCGAGACTCGGGCGCTAACAGTGGTGTTGGTTCTCCTATGGACACCACTTCACAGCGAGGTGCCAGTCCTTCTGTCGGCACGTCGCAGGAAGAGCGGGACCGCAATGTGTTGCGTCTCGCTCCTGAGAAGAAGGCATGGATGCCTCCAAAATCCGTCATGGATCACTTGTCGGCGACGACGAGTGATCGTTATCGAACACGATTGTTCGATTCGTCAAGGATCCATCACCTTGACCCCAGCGCGAAAAACTATCGCGCTGAACATGAATTCTTCATCGATGCTTTCTTCAAACATCGATGGTACAGTGGGAACCACAAGCGTGATGGTCCCTCACTACTTCAAGCGTGGAACGCCTACATCCATAACCTTGAGGATGTAGGTCGTGACGCTTGGAACGACAAACTTATCAAAGCTCGTGATAAGTTTGAAAAGCGAACCCCGACAGGTGCACGCTACAAGCTGCATCGTCTGTCAAGGGAGAAAGGATTACCCTGCCTCTCTTGAGGAGACTCGTGCCCATGTTGTGTGAACAACTCTGCACGAGCACCTAAGGAGGCTTACCTCCTTACCAGCCCGTGGTGGCGCGTACGTGTCTCTACTGAGATGTACGAAGGGATTGACAACCTGAAATCCCTTTACGACCGTGCCGGGAAGACTTTCTCCGGCGGTCCTTCTGCGGCACAGGATGTGCCGCGTCGTACTGCTCAACCAGACCCAGTACGTCGATCATCAGTTGGGAGCGGGGCTCCCAAGAATCCCAGGACGGGGGATAGCCGCGCCACCGGACGAGATAACTCGTCTGACGTCCGTTCACGTCGCGTTGGTTCAACAGCTGCTCAACTAGATAGCGCTGGCCACCGCGAGAGTCCTCTAATGAAGGTGGAGGAGGAGGAAAGACGCTCTCCACACGATCATGTGGATCGGTGTGTTCCCGAGAGCTTCTTTGATCGCGTAACGCAAGGGTTACGCGACGATCTCGAACATGAGCGGAATAGGCGTCTCCAAATGGCGGACACTGCCTCGAAGCATCGAGCTGAGTTTGCCTTTGCTCAGCTTGAGAACGAGAGATCTCTGACATCTCTTCGTGACGAGCTAAGGGTAGCTCGTGGGATTGCTGATCGGTCTCGGGATGAGATAGCTGCTCTTCAGACCCTTGTTGATGCCCACCATCGGGAGCACAAGGCTCTCTGCGAGATGCTAGAGCGCAAGGGCGTTCTCCATCGGAATAAGCAGCGTACTGATGGTACGGCTTAAGCCGACCAACGTAAAACGTGGGATGCGTTCGCATCTTACGTGGTAACTCGATCGTGTATGCATTGCCTAGGCGGTGCAATACACGAAATGGGCCAATGTACTTGGGTAGTAGTTTACTGCTACCCAAGTTAGTCACTACATGCTTTGGTAGATTAACCGTAGACAGTAGGACTAAGTCACCTTTATTAAATAAAAGAGTGTTTGCCCTTCCATTCTTGTCAGCGTTTTGCTTTTGCTTATCCACCGCTTCGGCGATGGAGTCTTGCACAAAACGGACTACCGTTTCACGAGCCAGTATGAACTCATCTGATGACTCGTTAGCTTCAGTGTGCTGTGAGCGCACTGCAGCAACATCAACCTTTTCTTCAGTGAGGGCTTCCGCACTTTCACTGGGATCATCTTCTTCAGTGAGGGCTTCCGCACTCTCACTGGCATCATCTTCTTCGATATCGATGTTATCGATATCGGCATCAAACGCAATGACTTCTTCGTCAGAGCGTGATGAGCGTGAACCAATTCGGATTTTGCTCGCGCGAGTCCCTCCCCCCCTTAAACCAGAGTTACACTCTAGTAAGGTGGGTACACGCGGATGGCGCAAGCCATTCACGTAAAACGGTGTATGTGTCGTGGACGCATGCACCGAGTTGTTGATGGCAAATTCTACCATTGGCAAAACCTCACTCCAACTCTTAAAGGAGTGTACGTATCCTCGAAGTATCTCTTCAAGGACACGATTGGCACGTTCCGTCTGACCATCTGACTCTGGATGATCAGATGTAGACATCTTCAAGCGCGTTCCGAGTGATTTGAACACGGAACACCAGAAATCAGCAGTGATCGTGGATCTATGTCTGATACGAGTTCACGGGGCAACCCATGAAGTCGGAAGATGGTGTCAATAAAGACACAAGCACAGCCACTTGCCGTGATTGTCTCTGGTACAGCCACAAGGTGTACCATTTTGCTGAATCTGTCAACAAATACGAGAATACCCGTATTCCCGCGTGCGTCTTTGGGTAACCCGAAGACGAAATCCATTGAGATGGATTCCCAGCACTCAGCCGGAACCGGTAGAGTCTGTAAAGGTGCACGCAGTGAAGGACTTGACTTCACTCGTTGGCAGACTTCGCATGCGCGAACATACTTTCGCACAAACTGATACTGGCGGGGCCAGTAAAAGTCTCGACTTACCGTGAGATATGTTTTCTCTCGGCCACGATGTCCTCCTATAGGAGCATCGTGATTCCCGAACATGATCCGCAAACGCAGATCAGTATCATCTGGAATGACAACACGTGGTGTGTCACCAGAAACGGCTGTATAGTACAGTAAACCGTTACGAGTAGTGTATCGATCTGATGCAGATCGATACGCAGACGACAATCGTTTCAACGATTCTCGAGATGGTTGGGAGAGATGTGTCAACAACTTCACTATCTCACTATCTTGGGCGTATGCCCGCCTCACATCATCATACAACGTTGTAGATGGGACTGAGGACATCATAACCGCAACAGTGACTGTCTCACTGTTGGGTTTCGCGACTGTTTCAAAGTCGGGACGACGTGAGAGTGCATCAGCAACGACATTAACTCGTCCTGGTTTGTACTCGACCGTAAAGTTGTATTCCGCAAAGAATGACAACCACCGCGCCATTCGTTGTGAAAGGTGCGGGCTGTCCACTGCCGTGCGTAATGACGCATGGTCAGTGTAAACAACGAAGGGTCTATCTCCTAAGAGATAGACTCTGAACTTCGCGAGTGCATACTTCATGGCAAGGAGTTCCTTTTCGTGCACTGGATAGTTCCGCTCAGCTGGTTGCAGCTGACGCGACTGATAGCAGACGACGCGTTCAACGCCTTCAAGATCGTACTGCATTAATGCACAGCCGATTGCGAAATCGCTGGCATCACAGACCACATGAAATGGCCTGTCCTGATCGGCTATTGCTAGGACTGGGGATTGTATCAAGCTCTGCTTGATACCCTCAAAGGAGCGTTGACATTCAGCGTTCCATAACCACCTCTCGTTCTTTTTCAACAAACGAGAGAGGTGCACAGTCATCTCGGCGTAATTGCGTGAATACTTATGCAAATACGCCGCTAGCCCAAGGAATTTTCGAAGACCTTTGACATCAACCGGCACAGGCCAGTCGGTGATCGCCTTGATCTTTTCGGGATCAGGACGTACACCGTTCTTACCAACGATGCACCCAAGAAGTGGTATTTCGCTTGCTGCAAATATACACTTCTTGAGGTTAGCATACAATTGATGCTTTCGCATGATTGTAAGAACTTGTCGGACGTGGTACCTGTGAACCTCAACGTCCGACTTTCCATCCATAGCTCGACTATGGATGAATACGTCATCGAAATAACTCGGCGCGAATTCTCGTACTGGTCTCAACAGATGTGATACACATCTGTTGAACGTGGCAGGGGCATTACTAAGCCCTTGTGGCATTACTAGCCATTCCCAGAGCATGCCGCTAGGCGTGCTAACTGCGGTATAGGGTATATCCCGTTCCCGCATAAGGATTTGATAGAAGCCATCCATCAAATCCATGGACGAAAAGATGGTACTCTTTGACATACCATCAATGATTACGTCCTTCCTCGGTATCGGCGTCTGAGCCGGTACCGTTGCAGCGTTCAATTTGTCGAACGCGTGCACTATCCGCCACCCTCCTGTTGCTTTTCGCACACAGAATTTCGGAGAGCTATGTGGGGAAGTTGATTCCCTCACATGGCCCGCAGCTAAACGATCGGCAAAGAACTTGTCGATCGCAAGTACTTGTTCACGAGGCAGTGGTCACTGCTTTATGACACAAAACTTCGAGCCTGGTTTAAGCTCGACCTCGTGTCGAATACCTTTATCCTTCGGTAATTCGCACGGAACAGTTTCAGGGAATACATCCTTGAATTCAATCAAATCTTCATAGAGAGGATTTTTCTTGAGCGATTCCCATGATTGGGAGTCATATCGCTCAATTCGTGTCTTTTCATCTAGGACACTCTCGTCCATAGATGAACTACTGAGAACTCTCTCGTTCTCAGTGAACACTGTTGCTGACCTTATGTCGGTTACACACTCGTCGTCAGCGACGAGTATGCAGATCTGCTTGACTTTGCCACTACGCAGATCACGCAAGAACCTTTTATGTTCGAGCGTTGGCAACTGAGTGATCTCCGAAGTTAACTTCGGAGGCGCAATCAGATCAAGTGTATAAGCGCCTACACTTGATCCGTTATTGACTATGACATTCAATGTCTCTGTCATTTCCTGGGGACTTATTCCCTCAGGCTTCGAAGGACTTATTCCTTCGTCTTCCCGGGGACTTATTCCCGCGGGTTTCGGGGAACTTATTTCCGCCGTATTTGTAATCTTGGGACTTATTCCCTTTACTTCCTCTAGCTGGGGTTGCGCAACCACAGCGAGACCCTCTACGAAAGACTCTCCAGTCGATCTAGGATTATCGTTTCGCTTAACCTGGGCGATCGATTGTTTCTCTTCTAGATGTTCCCCGCTAGGGATACATCTTTGTCCCAGTCCACCCGACTTATTCGAGTGGTGGACCTTCGGCGCAGCCTGTGTTTCCTCACAGCCGCCGGAACTTTGCTCCGAAGTGTAACCGTTTGGTACACTAAGGTTTTGTGCAGTCGTACTAACGACCGTACCACAAGTGAGGCCATCGCACTCACTCGTAGTACATCCACACGCTTGTGGACGCTCCAAAACGTTCATCAGATGGCCATCTGATGAACAAGCGGCAGGCATCGTTACTGTCCGATGTTGCCAGTTTACTCGTGGTTCGTACCTTCTGAGCCACGGTATTCCAAGGATGACATCAAATTTGTCATCCAAATCCAATACGATAAAGTCATCATCATATTGGGTATCTTCTAGCGTATAGTGGATCTTCACTATACGCTTCATGACGGTTACGGATGCGCCTGTCGCAAGACGTACCGTCATCCTCGTAGGAGGTGTGTCACATTCACTGAATTTAAAGTGACCATCTTCTAGCGATTGGCGTCGCACAAAATTGTTGGACGCCCCACAATCGACTAGAGCTCGAAGGGACAACTTATTCGTCACTTCGAGTTTCAAGGTAATGAGTGAGACCTCATTACCTAGAGCAGCAACGCACAACGTTTGTGTGTTGGGAGCAACCTTCATCAAGAGGCCTACAAATTCTCTTGACGTTGCTAGACCAGTAGGGTGCTCCGCACCTACTGATCCTGTCCGTTTTTTGACGGTCCATCCCGTTGTTGCGTCTTTGCACCAACTGCGGACCCTCGTCCCTGCCCCTTTCTCATGGGTGGACGGTCACTACGCCCAGTGTCGCGAGACACTGGACGAGGGGCACTACACTCGTAAGCGTAGTGTCCTGTCTTTTGACATCTGTTGCATCTCTGCAACTTCTTGTAGCCTGTAGAGCGAGCCTTCTCGCTCTCTACATAACAGAGTTCCATCGGCTCTGGACCTCCGTTGTCATATCGTCTCGGTTGACGATATGATGTCAAGCTGGCGCGAGCCTGTCTCAGACTGAAGTCTTCCTGCTCCGCAATGGAAATGGCTTGTTCTAGTGAATCTAGTTCAAGCCGGAACAGGTGAGTCTTGACGGGACCATCCGCAAGACCCTGCATGAACACCGAAACCAACGTGTGTTCATCCACCGGATTGGAACTTATACAACTCGTGAGATGTCGTATATGTTGAGCGTAAGCGTGCACATCACGCTTACCCTGCTTGAGCTTCAAGAGTTCGGTTCGAGCCCTGAACTCAGCTCTAGGCGGTTCAAACGTTTGTATGAGCCGCGACTTGAAGACTTCCAACGACCCAAACGCATATGGGTCGTGCAACTTGATCCCCAGTGCCCAAGTCTTGGCACGTCCTGCCAGATTTGACTGGGCAATTGCAACTTGCATATCCCCGTCGTCGATGCGACGCGCCCTTATGGCGTCATCCAATTCGACGAACCATCTCAAGAGGGAGTCTTCTTCGACCCCCCTATACTTTGAGATGTCAATCTTCAAAGTCTCGGGTCGACGCGAGTGCATCGACCCGCCAGCAGCAGCCTGCTGCTGTCTCAACAGTTCAAACTGTTGAGCACCCTGTTCTCTCAACAACTCTGCTTGTTGAGAACCTTGTTGGTGAAGCAAGGCTACTTTCTCGCGTTCTGCGTCAAGTTCATTTTGAATGAACTTGGCGATAGTAGCATGTTGGGTATCTCTATTGAGAGCCTCTAGCATGACGCTAACGGCATGGATGCCCATGGTCGAACCCATTCGTTCAACCGCATCCCATTCGACATCGCTCAAATGGGAGTAGCCGTCACGCGTATCGTGAAAGCTTTGGTCATCTTCATCATCCAACATATTCATGTTGGATGTGAACGCGGTCCTTGGACGGACTACGAAGTGCTACCAGGTGTAACGGGGCACCCTGAAGCTTGTACTGGTGACAGTACAAGCTACTTATTCTGATGACAGAATAAGGCGGTGCCTCGTAACTTCACGTACACTCGTACGTGCAGAGGAAGACGGTAAGAAGAAGCGAGTACTTGGTTAGAGTAAAAAGTAGAAGTGTATTTATAATAGTTAATGTCTGCAATAAATCACTATTTATCTTCATCTAACTATGTCTAAATACAAATGTGTAAATCAGTTATCTGCTCACCACTCATTGCGTGCGTCTGTCGTGGCGCGTCTTCGTTGGTTGATATAATGGCCTATATCAACCAATTAGGAGCTACTCGTAAGTGCTACAGAATATTTGTCCTTATGACAATATTCTGAGAATATAACTCTTATAGTTATATTCTATTAACAATTTCTTATAAATTGTTATGTAACGATTCACCCCGTTACATCCATGGTGCCAGGCGAGCGTATCGTTTGCATCTGGTACCACATGAATTCGTTCCAACTACTGCGATTGGGGTTCGAAGGATGTGATTGTTGTCAAGCAGTGGTACCCACCTTTCGAAACTGTATGCGCGTAGTGTGCTTTTATGACTACCAACACAGGCACAAGAAGAGAGACAGAAGTACTAGGTTTGTGTGACGACATCGCGGTCTAAATCACGTTTACAGAAGAAGTATCGACTACGCTTTTTTTGCCAGGTTAGCGGTGCCGTGATAAGTTTATCACAAGCTTGCTAATGCAATGCCAACAGTTGTGACGGTACATCATTGCTGTACTCCTCCCACGACTTTTGTTTTTACTCGACGTTGACGACGTTGTGGTATCGCGTATCGTGCTCCAGCCATAGCACGACCACACAGAGCGGCGAGCTGTTGGTCTTGTTGACGAGGATTGGTGAGAAAAACAGGAAAATGTCAGTTTGCTAGGTTCCAACACCGCCACAACAGCGACGATGCGAAGTCATTGCTTCTTATGATACGCAACTGCACGAAAGCCGCAGTGCTTGTCTCACAACCAAGAAAGAATCTTTACACGTTGATTTCTGGAAACCGGCAAAGAAGCTGGGATGCTTGTATAGGGTGACGTCGTACAAAAGAGGATCAAGTTCGATCGTACAAATGGGCGCAAGGGCAGTCATACATAAGGGCTCAACATCGGTCGTACAGAAGAACGCAATGTCAGTCGTACAGATAAACGCAATGTCGGTCGTACAGATGGGAGCAAGACCGGGTCGTACAGAAGGGTGTAAGGTCGGTTGTACAGAAATGTATCACGGCGGTCGTACAAATAAGTTGTGGCGTTGACTTGCTTGGTTCATTGTAGTAGCACGTGTAGTTGTAGTCTCATCGCACGATCCGTGAGACAAAGTTGCGAACACGGTGAGATCAAGAATAGATCACTGTAGATACGTACTCAAACATGTTCACACGAATTATGTATACACTTGTCTGTTTACTACCGCTAGCTCCTGGAACACTAGTAAACTCTAGTCCACCAACACTTGTTGACATGTTCTGATGTGCAATACTAGTGCACGGCCTTGTCGTGCTCGTTCAGACTTCCACACCCCCAAGCACTCCTTTGGTCACAGTGGTAAAGGCAATAAGCATCCAAGCATCGTCAACGACCAACAGAGCTACAGCGGCCACCAGACTCATATAGCCTGCCAGCCGGTCAGCATCTACAAAATGTGTCACCAGAGACAACGAAGCGTTGCAATCGACTCGTCCATGGTAACTCGACCGAGCACGGGGTCCAAAGTGGCAAAGAGACCAAGCAACAGGCACATATCTCCATTCGATCGACGTGCGAGCGACTGCAAACTTCCACCAACGCGATACAGTAGGGCTTCAAGATGACTGACAACGGCGCCATACACGGACACAGTAGCGCCGTTCAACACTTGGTCTCATGGACTCAACGCGCTCATGAGGAGCATGAACATGAAACTTGGGATCGACGACTGGAATCTATTGGTAATAACAATCTGCGAATCGTCCCGGACAAGACGCTGGCACTCACATTGCACGGTAATATCCGAATCTAACTCATGTTGATCCAGCTCCGCTTCTATACACTAAAACCAATTCAATACGACGCTTACGTACATAGCTTCCCTTCAACACAAAAACGACATCGACAGATGAGATGAGGAGATCAAGCGCCAACCTCATCGCACAATAACCATTTTGGCCCTCTTGAACCACTACGATAGTCGTGTAGTCTGCAGACATTTCATACACTTATACGCTCTAGCACCCGCCGGCAGGCTTAGCAATGTGTTGCAGTTCTTGCATCGCATCATCTCTTGCGCTGTATGGCGTACAGAGCAAGAAAATGCGTCAGAATATGATACGCTTAACATCACACACAATCAAACAAACTCACTAGTCGTTGTGGACAGCTTGGATACTCCATGGCACGACGGACACTTGACGGCCGATGCGCCATTTTTCACAATCAAGTGTTTGCCGCAGTGGCCACAACTCACAACCTTCGTATCCCGGACATCGATACCGGACGATGAGGAGTCCTTTGACAGACTCCCACCTGATTCCACCGACCGCACCGACGACCCTGACGATCGCTTCCTCTCTCTGCTTAGTGCAGAGGTCATTGACTGGCTAGTCTTCTTCACAGAGGCAAGCTGTAGGCAGTGCGGACACACGATCTCCGATGGGTCGAGGCCATCCGGAAGCTCTAGCACGTTGCTGCAGTTGACACAGACAAATTCATGATCTTCAGCAGGCAACACTCTGCGCAAGGCTCCACCGTTGGTGGTGCTCTTATTCTTCACGACAGAAGCAACCGCTTCGACTGCTGTTGGAGAGTTATCGGATGCAACTGCTATTGCCTTCTGGCAGTGGGGACAAGGCGACATACATAGATTGGTCTGCATAGGAGCATCCACCACGTCACGGCAGTGGAAGCAGCGCAGGGCGCACGTGGATAGCTCGTTGTCTCGGCATAAGCTCAATGTCGAGGTTTGCATGGGCATAGGTTCTAACAAACCAGCTTGTGTCGCTTGTTCTAACGCGTCTTCTTCCCCTAGCAACATCAGCGTGTTTAGCACATACTTGCGCCAGCGTCGCCACTTGCTGTCTCGCGCAAACATGACCATGATATCTACCAGCTTGGCGTAATCGATATGGTCGTACAAGAAGTTGCGGATCTCAGAAGATGAGCAAAATTGCTGCAGTAGTGTAAAAAGTATCGACACATCCAAGTCGTCTCCGAGGGATTCCCAGTTGAAAAACGCATGCAGCACACCAGCCACAAGCCATGAGCTTCGTACCGGCTCTTTCTCTACAAGCTGATCGTCGCACAATACAGACTGAGCAAACAGCACATCAGCTGCAGCTTCTGAAAGAGCCACAACACACTCCACCGAGTAAGTGCTCGTCTTCAGCGACCGAAACATCTGCTCTCTCAATAAAGTCTCAAGTTCTTTCAGCCCATCGTCACCCAGTACAGCTCCCGCACTATTGCTGTGAAATAAGCTTTTCAGCCCTTCACATGAAGCACAGAAGAGTTCAGCAGAATGGTGGCCATCTCCAAAGGTCGTTAGCGTTTTAGCATACACGCTCATCGTGCTTTTAATAAACGCCCCCTTGTCTTCCGGTCTTAGAAACGATCGTCCGGCAAACGTGACACCTGTTTTTAAAAAGGGAAGTCCAGATGCAAAGATCAAGCAAAACTTTGCCTTGAGCTCTGTAGCCACGAGCTCTTCGTCGAGTGAAAAGATAGAGGGGAACCAATCCATTATTGCCACGATATACTTCAGAAGCAAAGTCTCCTGAAAGACTCGTTCGCGATAAGCGCCTCCACGACCAAAAAGGAAAACTAACAAACAGAGGCCGCATGCAATGTCCAAGCCCACAATATGGCCGTCAGGATCAGTATCTAGCAACTTTGCTGTCAGCACTGCTTCATCTTCGCTTATGTCCCCGCAAACAATTTTATAGCCCCGCGCCAGACTAGAAAAGAAGTTATCCGTCTCCATCAAAGCACTTCTGCCAGCTACCCCACACTCCACGACGGCGTTGAAAGTCTCCAGCATTTCGGCCACACGCTCTGAGTCTGGCTCAGCATCGTTCTCGTCATACTTCATCACGGTTTCCAGTAGAATATCCACGCCATTGCAAGCTACAAGCCGAGGAACTTCGCATACACAGAGCTTTCTCAGCAGTCGGCGCGTGTTATCCACCACTTCACGTAACGGCTCCGCAACATTCTTTTGTTTGTTAACCACAGAAGTCAGCTTTTCGATTGCGCCTTGGTGCACAAGCGTAGAGTGAAATGTTCTTGACTGGACCAGCACGGACAGAAATCGAGTAATGACCAGCAAAAACTTCTCCCGTAGCGTCTTCTCTTCTACCTCCTCATTTGCGTGCCCGAGTTTCTCGTTTTCCTCGTCTGCCAAATGCAACAGATACGCAGACACCTCCTCAATGATCTCCATACAATCGCTCGGCAGCGCATCAAAATCGATGACCTTAAGAAGCCCTTGCATTAACCTGCATCGCTTAAACAGCCCATCTGAATTTGTCTTAATCTCAACATCGAGCAGTTGTTGTCCCAACTCCAACAGGAACGCGGTCTCACGCTGGACCAAAGGCGCTTGCAGTTGCTCGTAAAACTTATTCAAGATGGCAGGGTCCGTGACTCCATCGTGCAGAAGTTTTACGGCATTCTCTTGTTGCCGTTCCGTACCCCTTTGCATCCAGTAAACCAATGATACGGCGCCCTCAACAGCAACTCTTTCCATTTGCTCCGCATTAAGTGGTTGACCATTCTTAAGAAGCAGTGTCAGAGCAAGAACGCCTACAACGGATGTGCGCGGATCGAAGTCGACAAAAAAATTGATCAACATTGAGACCAGCGTGGTCTTCTCGTCCGTCGATAGACCAAATTCTTCATCATCAAGGATGTCAGGGTGCGAGAACACGATGTCAATAAGCTTGCGAGCAGCCGTGACCTGCACTGACGGTTGCTTCGACACTACCACAACACGGAATACCAAGCGCACATTAGCCTTTTCGATCAGATCAAGCCACAGCGGGCAAGTAGCGAAATCTGATTCGACGAGATTAAGGACGATTTCTTCGGCTGTTTTAGCAACCTCGACAGTGGTAGAAAGAACATTGCTCATGATTGCGTGAGGTAAAACTGCTCGGTGGTCATACAACATCTTGCGAAATTCTAAGGGGTCACTGGATAATTGAATGAGGATGTTCCCAAGATCCTGGGCCACCAGCTTTCGAGTAGGTGTCGAGGCTGCGTAATCGTCTGTTGTGGCTTCATACGCAGTCACTAAGGCATCCAGTGCTTCACCGGCCTCCAAAATAAGCAAACAAATTTGACGTGAGCGCACCAGCCTAGCTAGAAGCTCAAGAACTTGAGTCTCAACGTATTCATGACTTTCTTCAGCTACCGTCTCGTCCGCCACCTCCACTTCACATTCAGTCTTTCTTATGCTCCCCTTTGCACCGAATTTTCGGAGCAGCTCAAGCAAAAAGACATGAACGCCGGCACTAGTAACCGAGTTAATGATAGCGTCGTTTGCCGGCGTAACGCTGCCATATTCGTCACCTTCCCCGAATTCTTGTAAGTCTGTGATCAATTCTTTCAGGATGGTAACAGAATCATTAAACAGGTCGTTTTCACTACCTTCTTGTGCTGTCGCACCAGGTTGATCGATACCGTCCATAACGGCCTGCAAAAACTTCAGCCCAGTCTTGGTTGATTTTACAGCATACAACGCCACAAACGAGTCCTTCCAGATGTCACACTCGATGAGAAACCTGGTTATGCGAAAGCCCGTGACTACCCGACTAGGCTGCGAAACGACAAATTCTGTCACGATGGTCACGAGATTCGTAACTTCGTCCTTTCCCATACGAGCAATACGTGCAGGAGCCGCTTTCAGCACGAGGTACAAAAGCTGCAACAGTGCCTCATTTAACTGCGTCTCTATAGGAGTAAGTTTAGTTTCAGGTACGTCCATCCAGCGACGTAGTCCCTTCCAGAACGTATGGAGCTCTTCTTGATCAAGCATGCGTTCGACAAGCTCCTCACCGCCACTGACGGCACAGGTAAGGCATTTGATTGCGTCGTTACGCATATCGCTATCGCCTGAAGAGCACGCGATTGTCGTCAAAACAGGGAAATAGGCCGCACTAACAACGTGCTCCTGAAGTTTCTGCACCATCCCGCCAACCTTAGCGGTCGAAAGATCATCCAGAGGATCCAACATAGCAGTAATCAACTTCACGCCACTCAAGCGAGCAAGCACATCCAAACTGCCTCCCTTCAGTACCTCGTCTCGTCGGGACGCCATGAGAAAAAGCGTGTCAAGGACGCCTACTGTAAATGGACGCTCATTATCAACAAGTGCCCGGAAATAACGAAGGGCTGACAACCGGTTTTCGTCCGGAGGCGTTTGCAGCAACTTGTGGAACAAGTCTGACACGTTTCGGTCATAAAGCTCGTCAAAGATGCTAGGGTTAGACTCACACAGGTTCATCAAAGTCTGTGCGCATAACGGGATTAGGCGTTCTTTGCGCGAAAGCAAGAACGCGGAAAGCGTGGGCACGCAATCACGCGAGCAAATGTAGTCCACATACGCTGCCGAATCGGCGCTATAACTCATCGTAATGCTTAGCAAATTCCTTTGAAACGTGATCTCACCCACGAGCTGCTTCTCACCAGTGACGCACGCGTTTAGCTTCTTCAGCACCAAATTAAACACTTCCAGGTCGTAAATGACCTTAAGCACCTGCTTGTGTACATCATCAGCTTTTTGACCGGAAACAGCATTGTTCGAAGATTGCTTCGGCATCGTCGAGCAGAGACCACATAGAATCTCTGACGCGATCGTGAAGTCGTCGTCGCTGTCCAGCATCCACATAACTTCTTTGATGAATACTTTTTCCTCTGCCAGAAAAGTAATCAACGATGGCTCCTTTGATACCTGAATCAAAACTTGCGACGCTAACATGCGGTTTACGCGCCCGCCCTTTTGCAGAGCAGTCACAAATGAGTGGATGCTGTCTGCAGGAATCTGCTGTACGCCGCGTTGCACCTGTGAAGCTCCATTATCCACAAAGTGAATACATTCGCAAATCGTGCTTAATATAGCCTCAATGGCAACTTCGTACGACTCGTCGCGCACGTCAATACCGCTAGTGCCTAGGCTACCATCTCTGCGCAGCTTGATAAAATCTTTCAGCACAGTACACAACAAAGCTATGCCCTTATTCTGAATCATTTCGGTAATGTTCTCAGCATTTTTCTGCACAAAACGGTTTAGACAACGCGCAGCTTGCACTCGCATTTTTAACGACGACGACGAGTCAACAGATAGAAGCTTAAGCAAATGTGTGCCTCCACCCGCCGTGCGTAGAGAAGCCTGGCATGCAGTCGACTGGCAAATGTGGTAAACGAGACGAAGTGCCATGCTTTCCGCCTCCGGGCCAGGACTGTGACCCAGCTGCTGCTCCATTCCCCAATTCTCCAATATTTTCACCACTTGTGCGCACGCTCCTGACTGTGCAAAAGCTTCACCAGTAGAAATTTCGTTGCCAGCATTGTTTTCGAGCTCAACGAGATTCGCCAACATCTCTAATGCTGCTTGCTGCAGAGGCTCCACGTCAGTATTCAGCAGCTGACAGAAAGAAGCTACACCTCCAGCGGCCTCTACATCGTTGAGCTGGGCGACGCGATGCAGTCCCATGTTTCCGTCAGTCTCCGGTCGCCCTGCAGACAGCGCCAGTGCAAGCTGCATAACCTGTTCTACTTTGTCGTCGACTGTCGAGGTCGGATCGTCCACTTTGTGGCGCAGCCCCACAATACTGAAGAAATCACCAGCTTTCACGTTCCGGAAGCACCGCGTGCACACAGGTTGCTCCTTTTCGTAAGTTTCGGCTTCAATCGGAAGCTTCACCTTGTTCGTCGTGCAGTCGGCGCAGTACACGTTGCCGCAGAGGCGGCAATGATGACGCCGCCTGAAGGTGCCAAAACGTACGCCACAGTGTTTACATGCCGGCGAATCATCGTCTCGCACAAAAATTGGTGCAAAGTAGCGTCGCAATACCACATGAACATCAGCTGAGGCAAAGCTGCTGTCCTGCCCCAAGTTTGAGACGTTCGACATGCTCAACAGCTGTTGCATGCCAATCTCCTCGTTCGGCACGTCTTTTCTGGTCCTACTCTCCGTTCGCAACGACACTGATCTCTCCAGCTGTGCATCAGCAACTGGTTCTTCCATATCTACCACCACCGCCTCGGGAGGTAAGAACATGTCAGTAGCCTCTCCCATGTCTTCATAATCGCTCTCTTCTTTCTCAACCTTATCCAGCGTATGATCACCCGTATCCTTGGACTGCTCCTTCAAATGCGATGGAAGTTGCTTCTCTAGATCGACAGGTACAGTCGTGGATGTAGTAACTTGCTTCACTGCTGTTGCCTCTAAACTTGTCTCGTCCAGGTACTTCTCCAACAGTGTCGATGTGCTTGCCCTACTGCCGTGATCCTTTGTACCCCTCGAAATAGCAGAAGACGCTAGAGATCCGGTTGATAAGTTGTTATTGCTGCTTGCGTTGTAACTCGGGCGCATGTATCCATTGCTTGCAGTGCCACTACCACCGGCACTGCCTCCTGAAGCTCGTCGCGGGTCCTCGTAAGTCGGCGACTGTTCCTTTTCCATCGCTTCGTTGGCAGAAGTGAGCGAAGGATTGTTTTGGCGTGATGGAAGTCGACCGGAAGCCACCGATTGACCCCTTGTGCGACGTCTAGCGGCCGCCACACGCGGATCCATCCATGTCGTAGTACGTGCATTGTGGTCGACAAAGTACACGCGACCTTGGCCATCAATGAGCTCTTCCCAGCCCTGTGGCAGTGGATCTTCGGTTGGTAGGTGCCATGAGGTCTATAAAATGGGTTCAGTCGTTCCAAAAATGGGTACATTGCAATATCAATAATCGGAAGAAATGGGTCAACAGCTCGTCAGCACTTCTGTCGACAACCAGACTGCACCCAAAGAGACGATAGGAAACGATATCAAGCGACGGTACCTCTCGTGTCACGTGATTCACGTAGAAGTAGCGCCCATGCGCGTCTTTCACGCGCGTCCACTCGCCCTCGCGGCTGCTCATGTGCGCTCGCGTTACTTTTCAATTCTGGAGCAAGGACCCTTTTCACAAAGAAGAACCCAGTTTGGTCGATTGCCCGCACGACGACGGAGCGATAAAGGTTCAAAAAAGGGCAAATTTTTGCCACTTGGAAAACCGACGACGACGACTGCAGAGATAAAAGCTAGATATTTTGGGTATACGTATACCACGAACGGACGTCACCACAACAAAGTGCTCAAAAGGCATTGCACATCCAAAAATGGACAACTTTGCCAGCTCAACGGCGGAAAAGTGACGACTACAAAAGCGTCATGGCATTTCGCGAGATATTCAACACGTGGACCACTCCAAACACGCAGCATTCGAGACACTCGTCTCGTTGTCATTTCCATTGTCATTCATGACCTGTCACAAGTGAAAAGCTGCAGCAGACTGGGCTGCCGCACGCGCTTGAGTGCCTCGCGTGCTCCAAACTCAAACTCGTAGTCGGTGAGCGGCAGCTCCATTGCCAACGTCCAGGACGAGGCCACCGTCTCAGTGTCCATCTGCTGGCAATTGAGCTGCTGCAATGTAGTCTCGACGAACGAAGGGCGACTGCACCTTTCTGGCACGATGAACGCAATCACACGAGCCCTCCACTCGCTCGCAGCATGTCGGGAGAAGTCGTGCACGAGGTCGGTCCTGTTCTTGCCTTTTGTACCGAATGGCGGGTTGCCAACCGCTACTACAAACTTATCTGCAGGTACGCAACACTTCGAAGTGAGGAAGTCGCCCAGATAAACCTGTGCTTGAACACTACTACTGCCTTCTCCTGAAAAAGACCTTGGAACTCCAGCAATGTCCGACGCTGCCAGCCGTACGTTTCGCTCGGCAAGACTCTGCAGCTTTGAGTCGATCTCGTAGCCCACAACATGCTGCGCGCCCGCTCGTAGCAGTGCCGTGAGGAACCGACCATCACCACAGGACGGTTCGAGCCACACTACGGCTCGCTGCTTCAAGTATGCCTGCACGCTCGTCACTACTAGCTGCACCATCTCGGTGCTACTAAAGTACTGCTGCAACTCCCGGGCGCGTTTGCTGTCCGCGAGAGCAGCTGCTCGTTTGAGCTTCATTGCAGCGTACATACCTTCGTGAAGGAACTCTCGCTGCTGCTGCACTGGTAGCTGCACGAACGCGACATTAAGCCAGTCTTCGCACGCCCTCACGTTTTTCTGCATGTCTCGCCGCCATCCTGCAGCTGTGTCACCTCGGAGCCAATTTACTGCCATCAGTTTGCGCAAACGCTTGGTCGGTAGCCGCTGGCCAGTGGAGGCGTGACGCAAGAGACGGTCCCAGCTCTGCAAGTCGACAAACTCGCGTTCCAAGTTGTAAATTGCCGTTCCAGATGTCAAGTCAGGGCTGTGGCTGCTACCAGCGCAGTCGGAACGCGCTGCAGTCAACAGGAAACAGCCACGGTCAGTGCTGAAGCCACACAACTCGAGCGAAGGCGTGGCGGTGGTCGACATCATGGGTACACCGAGAGTTACACGCTGCGTACCCCTAGGCGCGTCAACCGCGAGGTTTTCTGTTCTCAGTGACGCACTAGCAGCTCCAATGGACTTTTCTTCTCGTTGCTCACGATGAGTCTACCGTTGCCACTAAATGCCTTTCAGTCGTCCGCATGGAGGCACACCTAGAAGCTGAGGAGCTGGTGGAAGCGATATAAATGTCGCAGTGTGCGGATCCGTGTGTAATTAATTGTGTTGCCCGCGACAGTTACCAGCATGTTCCGTGTGTAATTGTGCTGCCCGGACAGTTATCAGCATGTTCCGCGCGCGTGTGCGTGACGACAGACCTGCTGTCTCCGAGCCAGCGCGCGTCATCCATAGCGTGTCAGTTCATGGATATAGTGACGGGCTTTTTTGCCGATTGATCTGCTTCTACCCACAAAGCATTTTCTGCTGCTCTGATTCCATGTAGAGGCTCGGCACATGCATGCGTCTTGCCCTGTGCAGTGAGGATCGTGCTGAAAGCGGGGAGCCCTCTACTACCGACGATGGACATCGCCGTTCGCGTGACTCATCGTATGCTTGGGACTTGTCATCCAGAGTCCCTTGGGTTTCACATCGCATGTGTACGGCTACTCAGCTCTCGTCGCTATGTCGTTCGAGCAATTCGAGTAGATCTCGCGAATGAAAAGGCCGTGGCGCGGTCAAAAACATAGGAAGAAAAGAGCAGCACGCGGGCAGCCTACCCATCCGGTTGAAGAACACAAGACAGCTAATCTTGCTCGTAGCATACGGTCTTCTAAGGACCACGACGGGCTTCTTAGGGATGAGCAAAGTACCTTGCGATAGCAATGCGAATACCAAACTCGCGCGATGGACGGGCTGTGGCAATCGCACTTAAGTGAAAGCGACGTTGCGACTACTTCAACATACACTTTGTCAACAACGAAGGACTTCAACGTGACCGTTTCGTGACGACCACGACGTAAACATCAATCGAATATGCCTCACCCTAAACAGGCTGCTGCTGCATTTCCACATCCGCATGTGCCTAATGTAAGACGAAGCGCGGATCCGAAATACGCTTCGATGCTCGATAGTGGTTTGCTTCTTTTCGCAATGTGACAGGCAAGCGGGACACAATGACCTTTCGAAATTTAGGTCGTCAGCGTAAAGGTAAAAAACGTAGAAACCTGCCACGACTGTGCTTCTCCCTCGCATCAGGTTCAGTCCTGCAACTCACGAAGACCGCGGTCCAGTAGCTGCTTCTGCTGCTGTCGTTTTCGACGATGGTTCCAGAGGTCACAGGCCGCAACCCCTTCTGCAGGGAATGGGTTACTGCAGGTCTAGACCGTTATCTTTTCGATTGGAGCTGGGGGATGGAAGAATGGCCAAATGATGCTCCTGTAGAAGAGGGAGGGCGCCAAACGCCGCTGGGTACTACCCTCCTCCTCTTTTGCTTTCTAAAAGCCGGCTGAGATCCGGGCATGACGTACGGCGTTTGCCGTATAAGCCGCGGTCGCTGCGAGGTCCCCCGCGACATGAAGAAAGGCTGGCTCGCAGGCGACAGCGGGCGTTTACGACTTTTGGGCCCTGGTCCGGTCGTAAAGGCGACAGCGTTCGACGCGGCAGATCAGAGGGAACCCCACTCTGGAGACGGCCGGTGTCTCGGGCAGCAAGCAAATAGCTTCCTGCTCTCCACGATTGTGGCAGGTGTGTTACCCACATGCACATGACTCTGGACAGCAGCTCATACCACCGATAGGGTGCTCGAGCGGCTGGAGACTTTTCAGCAATCTTGTAAGCCGTAGAGGTAGTAAGACCGCCTGTTACTCTGCCCACATGCACATTGTCCATCGTGATCACGTCAGTATTATCGATACCTGTCAATTTGACGTCGCCGCCACTACGCGCAGGGTGAGTCCCTTGCACGGACTAACATCTCAAGCGAGTGTCGCTCGCTGACTTGTGGCGACAACCGGTTGCGAGTCGAAATTACATCTGCTTTCACCGACCACTAGACTCCCATCGCGTAGTAGCGATAGGTGTTCAGGATTGGTGAAATGCCTCTGGATTTTACAGGCGAGACGATCAAAGATCGTAGTAATGAGCCAATCTTCTGTCTTAGGTCGCACGCTACGACTGGTTGCTACAAGGTACTTACTTGCCCCAAGACCTCTCGAGTAAATGAACAGCAGACGATTGTGCGGACGTAAACTACATGTGCAACCTGTTGCGTTGTACTCGAAGCGCCTGTCCGCAACCGGCCCCCAATCGGCCGTAAAGAAGTTGCATGTTGGTGTCTAACGGCCCCTAAGTGCAGTGACAGAGCAACACTTCGGATCGCTGGGGTGTCCAGGTTTCACTCCAAGCGGTCTCGAGGGAGCGCACCAAGCATTTACTTGTGGACCGACCACACGTGTACGCACAAACATACACAGCGTCCTAGCGCTATCACACGCATCTCGAGCTTAAGCGTGCCCTTCCCTTCCCTCCCTCCCTCCCTCCCTCTCTGCCCGTCTCGCTTGTTTCCAAGGCAATGGAGAAATTTCGTTTCCAAGCCCTCGCGAGGTTCCAAATCGCGCGATCGCCTCATCGGTTTCGTCGTACTGCGGAGTCTCGTGCTCAGTCAGAGGGCACGTTCTTCAACACTTGACTCACTGGAGACCGACCGGAAAAGCGCCCGCCCGGCTCTCCGCGGTGTTGCTTTTTTGACGCGGGCTAGGGCGCTCCAGGTGGAGGTCCAGAGACACTGGCCGGCGGCTTCGCTGGCCTTTTCTTTTCGAACGACCGACCCGCCCACCCGCTCACCCGCCTGCCTGCCGCCTCGCTCCCGCAGCGCTGCTCACTTCGTCTGCTCATTCGCTCATTTGCTGTGGCGTAGACACGACCAGAACTGACCCCACTCGGTTCTTTTTTTCCTCCGTCTACTCCTTCTTCTTCGTCTTCTTCTTCCTCTTCTAGGGCCCCATGGACATTACCGTTCGCGTCGAAGTGCAGTACGTTGCGCCCGAGCACGCGCTCATCCGGGACGTGCTCCAGATGTTCCGCACCCCTGCGTGGGTCCGCTTCATGGTGCGCTACATCTCGCCGCACCTCAAGAATGCCGCCCCTGCTGACAAGTCCGTCATGGACAATCTGTCCTCCTGGACCGTCGGCAACAGCAGCAGCAGCAGAAGCAGGTGCAGTAGCAGCAGCCAGCGACCCAAGCGACCCATTTCGAACGTCTCGTCTCATCCGTCGACAGCCGACGACGACTGTGTCATCTGCCTGAGCCAGCTACAGAGCAGCGGCGACGAGTTCGTGACGCTGCCGTGCGGCCACCAGTTCCACTTGCCGTGCATCCGCTCGTGGCTCAAGCTCCGCAGCACGTGTCCGAACTGCCGGTTCCAGTTCCGCAAGGCCTTTTCCGGGAGCTACGCCGTGCGGACGCTCAACTCGGCGCTGCTGCTCAAGCAGGAGCATCGGCCGCTCTTGAAGGAGCAGATTCTCAATACGTGCATTGGCCGCGAGACAGTTCGTGCCGTTGTGAACGTCACGCTGAGCCAGATCGCTGCACACGCCAAGCAGAGCCAGTACCCGTGCGTGCTCAACGCGCTTATGATGCACTCGAACGGCGACAGCTTCACGGAGCTGGCAGCATCTACAGATGCAGTTGCATTGGCCAAGAACAAGAGCAGCGACAAGGAGACGGACGACGGCAGTAGCGAGCCGCGGACCAAGCGACTGCGTGTCGCCTAGGGAGACGAGCAGTGTAACTATCGAATTTATACGGACAATGTAAACTATGGAAAGCATGGACGTTGGCGCCGTGGCCGAGAGGTGCGCACGCTGCTTGCTGCATTAAGAAACGACGTGGTTGGCATGCTTTTGGTGGTGATGGTGCTGGTGGTGGTGGTGGGTCTCGCCCGTCATACAAAGTCGGACCTTCCTACTTGAATACAAACCAAACCTCTTCTGAAACGACACCGCAGGAGCAGAAGGGGTGATGACATACTGGAAAAAATAGAGTCGTAAGCAAAGCGAGCAGATTCCACACCCGCCGCCGGCACATGACAAATCAGAAGTGGCGTGGTTTTTGCGACGAGACGACGGCGATCGATGATGACACATGATATGATGGCCGGGCTGAGATCCCGTCGCCGATTACGCGTTCGGAGCGCAAGCTGCGGCGCCTCGAACGGCTGTAATTTGTTCGCATCGGGTCTCCAGCCAAAGCTGGCGTGGACGCTGTCGAGTTTGGCTAAGCATACGAACTTCTTCGAATTCGAACGCGACATGGAACGCGCTCGGCAAAGGTGATCGAAGCCAGTCTGTCTTGACCAAGATGCGACACACGGGCGCCTCGCTTCGCTAGCATGCGGACCGAACCGGGTCCGTCGCTGCCCGCACACTCCCTCGGATGTGTTAAAACGCTCTACGCGGTCCCTTCCGGGCAGGCGGTCACGCCTGATTTTCCGGCCACTGGGACATGCTGCTGCTGCTGACGCCGCCACAACCCAACTCCGGCTAATGGCGTGTTAACTGTAGTGATTGCACAACCAGAAGCGCCGCTTCTGTCTCGTTGTCGTCGCTATGCAGCCATAGCTTCCTCCAAATATAGCGTTGTTTCCAGGCAGTGAGCCATTGTCGTATCCCGATGAGTCAAAAATGGCTTGCCCAAGACTTCCGCCTAAAGTCCATGTACGAAACGGAGAGGGGGCAATCAACTGCCGTCACCAATCCATGAGCCCGCTCTGTGCCGCAGCGTTTCTATCACGCGGTGTGGCAATGATCACGTCCACCGTTTAGTCGAAGGCGTTGCGAGCCGTGCGCGCCCGTCCCGTCTGATACGCATTTTCTTTTACCAAACAGCCGTTGTCCGTTGTGACTCAAGCTAATGGCATCGAACATTACGGATACAGTGGTCCGTCTGACGCGACGGACGCAGAGGAACCGAGTCGTTTACGAGCAGAACAAAAGTAACGCTAGCGGGAAGTGTTCATGAGCTCAATTTGCCGACTTGGGTACCACGTTTAAACCCTCGGGAGCGCAGACAGCTCCATACAAGGATGCAAAATACACGTCTCGGACAACGCATCGACCTACTGGACGCTAACTCATTCACAAGTATCACATTTTTTGCAGTGCGTAACGTATGAACACGAGATCATTCGACACCAGCGTTGCTAACCTGGCTTTGAGAAATTCCAGACGTCTCGTCCACGTGTGTAAAGGAAAAGAGACTGTCTGTTGTCCTCTCCCCATGAGTGACCAGAGCCCCACCATCTCTTGGTCGTGCCAAGACTTGAGGTAGCTGGTGGCTGCCCCGTCTTCGTGTACGGCAGTCATCAACCCGTCCTTTTCTGCCTTGCGGCTCGTCAATACGCGGCTCGCTCCAGTTCCGTGTTGAAGCAATTCGCCTCAAAGCAGAGCTCGTGATCCCATCGTCGAATACACGAGAACCCGAGACATGACTGCGGCCAATGGTGGCAGCCACGTGTTCGCTGCCGAATAGTCTCTCGTTTCTCCGAATTTTCGCACAGCGAAGCAATCGTCGGCCATGCCATGTAAAGTCGACCCTCCGACGCATCGTCCAACAAGTCCACATTAAGTACGTCGTACTTATCATGGACCGAAATTGGAACCACCCACCTTTTTTTGCTCGGCAAATGGGAATCGACACAGAACGCGTGGGTGTCTAGCGTAACAAGCCAAGGACAGCTGCCGTCTGCGACGTTGAGAATCCGCAGTCGTGAACGAGCGCGAGCTGCGCTACTCGCAGTGGTAGCTCTTTCAGTGTCCAAGTTCGACCATCCACGCAGCTTCTGCTTCTGTACGTGCGAATTGGTTTTCAGACCTCGAGGTTATGAGTGAAAGTAGTGAGATTGAGTGTGAGTCTGATTGATTTGCGTTGCACTTGTTCAAGAATGGCTTGTGTGAAGCCAGGAGCAGGATCACCGATCGCGCCGGACCAGAGAAGACTGCGGTAGCGCTGAATCTTGCCGTTCAGCTCGCTGGCTCGATAGAGCGCACGCATCTGCTTCAGGACAGCATGTGCGCCTTTCGAATGAATACCGTGCTCGCCGAGGAACTTCAACATGTTTGCTGCTGACTGCAAGCCGAGCTCCAACGCGTCGTTGCAGTACGTCGATATTTTCTCGTCCAGTGTGAAGCCTGTCTCGAGAAACAGCATCAAGAAAGCAGCGAGCAGCTTCGACTTTGACTTATTCTTCTGCTTCTCTCCGTGGACTCTCCATAAACGCGGGGTACGCGCGGACCACTTGAACCACACTGAGTGAAGGTGTGTTAACGACGACTGCGTTCTGTGCTTTGTTGATTTGCTGACGTTTTCGTCCTCCTCTCTGCGCTTGTTCTTTTATTTAGGTCCGCGATTCGTCGAGCTTAGCTTCGAGCGCATCCATGCGCTTGTCTTAGCGCTTTGCGTTTTGGATAAAGTGTTCAATCGCAGAAGCTTGGTGGCGAATGGTTTTGCGTTCTTCAGACTCTGTGCTTGGCTTGTTTGCTGGTTCTTCTTCTTCCATTTGTACCTCTGTACAAGTAGCCGTGGCGAGATCCGTGGACCACGCAAGCAAATAGGCAAGGGTGCTACCAGACTCCAGTACGCAAGTTTCCAAGCGCTTTACAGCTGGTCCGTTGGGGTTTGCCTCTTCAAGAAGCGGGAAATGCAGAGTCAGGTACGCCGTTAGCACGTCAATGACGCGCTGGCTGACGTTGTACTTCTTTGCGCTGAGGCTCTGACAGGTCGCGAAGAGCCTCTTGAATACTGTCCTGCGTCTGAGCGTCGAAGAGCCTTAAGTCGGCGAGCGAAACGGATTTGTTCAGGTTCCGGCCGCTCAACACCTTCACAACCTTGTGGTTGCATGGTGTTGAATACGATGTTGAACGCTTTGTTTGTCGTGCTCAAGTTCCAGGCGCCGCGAGTTGGGAGCAGCTGTTCGCGTGCTGCGCACCGCCACGACGGGATGAGTGTGGTGTGAGTTGCTGCTCCACTCGAGCTAGAATGGCGTCGCGGTCGAGAGGCGATTAACGTGGCTGTAAATTGTCGATTAGATGTTTTTACCTGAGGCAGCATCAGATTGGAGGCCACAAGAAGCCTCCGGGTGGTCAAGAACGTCAAGAAGCGACGTTTCAGGGCCGAATCTGACTGCGGTGCTCACTGATTGAGCAGATAAATTGTCGAGGAGGTCGGCACACGGCGCTGCCTGTGCGATAAGCGCCAGAGCGATGATGTGCAGCGAGCACGTGGCAAATCGTCGGCAGGGAAGATGGAGAGTCCCTGCTCTTTGCACGTTTTCATACGAATGAAGTGTACGAAGAACACGTCGCTCGCATCGATCGAGACATTCTGCTTTCGGACGAGCACCGAGTCCGAAGCACGCCTGAACAGGTACTAAAGAAGGCACAGCAAAGCAGCATCCTGGTAGTCATTGGACGAGTATGCGTTTAGATACAAATAAATAATACATCATCTGCCTCAAGTCAGTCTTCGTACATGCATTGGCCTTCTTTACAAACTCGTCACCTTCTATCTTGACACAGTAGTTCTCTAGTGTTCTGCTCATTTTGAGTAGCTTTGAGTATGGTATAGCACGATGCTGCGGAAACTGATCCAGCTCCTCGCACTGATGCAATGAGTATTGAGTGACAAGCAATGTGAAGGACTACTGTTCCGCTCAGATCAGGGCAATTCGTGACTTGGTCGACAGAACGTAGCATGGCATCATGCGCACATCCTAGTGACTCGATAAGATGCCACTATCGTCTGGAAACCTTCAATAAGAAGCCGAAGTACTCGTGAGACTAATTTTTGCTGCAAGAGTGTCCAGATCTCCTCTAACATCATGTCGAATCGGAAGATATCGCTAACATGTCCTTGGAGTCGATCAGCGAGCGTTGACACATTGTCGACTTCTCTTTCGACACTAATACGAAAGCTGGTACAAGACTCGCTTCAAGTCATTAACCTTGATGTGACGCATACATTGCAAACGTCGGCAGAAGTGCTGTGGGAATGGTGGCCTTGTAATGATGACAGATACGGTTTCCCAGAAAAGCTATGGTACTACCGTTCCCATACTCTGGAGCTTTGCCATGTAAGCTGTACGCACTTGAAAACAAGCCGCTAACATCAGTACACCCGTTACTGTTGTACAACACGGCCAACAAGTAACTCTCAAATGAACGCATCAAAATAGACATAGTAAAACCCTCGCAGCCCATTTAACGTAAGAAGTCCAGCGCATGAAAGATCTTTAGGAGACTTGCCTATGAGGCTGAGGAATGACCACACAGGGCGCCTCCTAAATCACAATGCTAGCTTTGAAGTTGCAACATTTGCTGACATTTCAAAGCAGTGCAGTAAGGATGTGTGCTCTGTGTAACTAGTCAGAAGAAGCGGTAAGTAGCTACCGGCAGTGCCGTGCTGGACAAAGCTAAGAAACTTTACACAAACTCAATCGTCAATAGTTGTCGACTGACGTGGGTTAAGTGGCAGCTGTACTTGTGAACGGATATCCCAAGGTGCAGTGCAACTCGAGGGAACTGCCAGCGCAAAGGGTTTTGAAAACAATCGAAACCGAGAATAAGACAGTGGCACCTTAGCAAGTGACATCAATCCCGTGTGCTGCATATTCACATCCACATTGAACAGAACATGACTATATGAAGAACGACTTCGCAAGAGTTAGATCGATTCATACGACAGTCTTTTACTCGTCCACTACGGAGCTGACATGGTCATGCTGTATCAATCTCCCGCGCGAGGAGTAGCAAAAGCCAAGTTTGGAATGACTCGACCCGCGCTTTTGTGATCTGCTAACCGAACGCTACAAATGTAGATATACCGCAAAAGCAGGCTAGTGACAGGGATTGTAGTTGCCTCACTGACGTACTAACATTGCTGATTCTTACCATTTTTCTGCTGTTCGACTACTACAGCCATTGCACTCGGCTGAGCTAACAAGTCCCCATCAAACTTTGATATAAAACCTTACGAAATTGTCCTTGGTAGCGATGGCTTGCAGTTGAACATGCTGATACTTTCCCCACGAACTTGTCATAAGGACGCTCAACAAACACCGCAGCCTCCGACCACATTCTTGCAAGCACAGTTTGGATCTAATAATTTTGGACCATGAAGATGCAAAATGGATAAGCGCCACTCATGCTCACTTACGGACGACTGTAATGCTAACGAGAGTGGACTTACGGCACTTGCTGCAATTTTAGCACTACAATCAGCTCCCTCTATGACATCCTCCCTCTACACGATTCAAATGGGGGTGGACAACTAGAGAGAGCTAACCGGGGTACTATTCCAGAAGTTGAGGCCTAATTGTCTCCTGATCCACTCGTGAGTACGGTTGTAGTGGCCGGCAGCAATTCGTCTGGAGAGCGAGTCAAATCAAGACACACCAACAGCTTCGAATCGAGTGTCAATGGCGCTAAAATGCTCAGGAATGAAGCAAGTCCGAAAGCATTGCTCAAACTTGCACAATATTGTAGACCTGGTTGACACATCGGCCAGCTACAAGAAGTGTCATCGATTGAAGCAGGTACTAGCGACGACGATTAGTGAAGCGAGTGGCCGCGACGACACCTTGTCCTCACCAATCAACGCTGCAATTACTTTCTCATCCGATCCAGTCCAAGACCAATTTGACACACTGCTACGCACTCACAGCAAGCGCACTCATTTCGGGTCAACGTTACCCCTGACTCATTTAGTTTGCCACCGTCCATTCTCCTATTGCCACATATCAGGCATTGCAATCTTAATCGGGATTCCCGGAGCAGCAAAGTCCACGTGATGACGCTAGAGAATGTTTCTGGTGCACACAACAGCAGTCAATTCGCACTACCAAGACTGTAAAGACAGCATTTCGTCCGGGATATGTCAGGAGGAGCTACGTTACCTGATCCCCTCGATCGACACGGCCTAGCAAAAAAACGCGATTGGCTTGCAGAAGATTAACAGCACAGGCATCGGATGTTGACAGAAGGGCGTGCACCGGGATAAAGCTGAATGTCGTCAGGACTTACCGATACATCGAATTTCGCAGCGCAGAACTCTTTGCCATGTCACCAACGACAAACAGCTACAACTGCCGAGTAAAAGTCAACGTAACTGTTGCCAAAAATGCCGGTGCCACATCATTTGTACAGCGCCGCTTACCCTGTCAATTGACTTTTACCTGATTGCTTGCTTTCTGAGCATCACATCCCCTGTGCGGCCTTGCTACGAATGAAACGCAAAAGTTTGCGCTTAGCTATCATCCTCGATTGACGAATATCTCACTTGGTCAGCGTCCCTTCTTGGACGACGAGGATTCCCACCGAAGATGGGCTTGAGGTACTTCTCGTCGAGTTCAATCCACTTGCTGTGTACACTCCAAGAGCTGGGCGGAGACAGCGCAGGACTCACGAGCGCTTCTTTCTCAGCGGGAGTCTCGACTACGTCGACGACTTCACTGGTAGACACGTCTTGCTCAGGATCGCCCGTAAGCTTCAGAATGCGAAGTAGTGGACCCGTTGCCATGCCGAAGAAAACAGTTGTAAACAACGCGAGGAAAAGTGTTGAGCTCTTGAGAATCGCTGCATGGATAGGGTTGTCAGTCGACACGTTGAGCACCAGAGCAAAGGCGATGGCGCCGCGCAGCCCCGAGAACCAAATCACAACCATGTACTTGAACGGAATTTTCTGTCGCTCCGACCGTCTGCAGTTCGCCAGGTAGCACAGCGGGAACGTGTTGAGAGCTCTTGCAATGAGACACACACCAAATGTTGCGAGGATAAAGCTCCAGTCCCAAACAAAAAAATCTTGGTACGCGAAGACACTCAACCCGAGGTACAAGTAGATGAAATTCTCGGCCAAGAACGACATCGTCGAGAGCAATTGTTTGAAAGCGAACGCGCTGGTCTCCGAGATGTTGTACATGTGGTAGTGTCGAATGAATACGCCACTAAAGAAAACAGCCAGCAGTCCACTGAGCTGAAAAATGTCAGCTGCCAAATAACTAGCGTAGCAGCTCAGCAAGATGATGGACATCTCGTACATCGGGTATTGACGCAGTGCTGGATCCGAGTGGCGTAAGAAGTAGGCAGACGAATAGCAAATGACCCCGGACAGCGCGACCGAGCCCACAATGATACTCAACAAACTGGCGACCATACCCACCGCTACTTGAGCATTCACGTCCGAATTGCCACTTTTTATGAGGTTCTGGAACAGCGTAAAGACAACAATCGCAACGGCGTCGTTCAGCACGCTCTCTCCAAACACGAGGTTAAATAGCATCGACGGCGCTCGACATTTCCGAAACACAACGAGCGTCGCAACAGGATCAATGGCAGAGATGAGCGATCCAAAGAGAAACGCCTCTGCAGACTTTAATTGCGTGATGACGCCCCTTTCGCCCAGCCAAATGAGAATGCCACCAGTAGCAAATGTCGCTACTAACGTGCCGACGATAGCCAGCAGTAAAATAGCCGAAAAGTTGCTAAAAAAGCCTTTTCGCTGGGTGTTAAAACCCGCGTCGAGGATAATGGGTGGCACGAGAGCTAAAAATAGGATCTGTGGGTCCAACCCCGCGTCGTGGACACGCTAAAGTTACAGACAGACACAATACAATTATTGTGTTCAACAATATCAGTCCTAGTTTGGACCCATTTTGTAATGTGGTACACGTGAAAAACACACCGTTTTTGACACAAGAGCGAGCAATGCACCACTCCCGAGGCCGCAGGAAATGGCCCACGACGACGTCGACAGCAGCGGCGCCTCACGCATACAGTCAATGCGGTAGGCTACATTCACTAGCAGCAGCTGGATCACAGCACACACCAACAGCTCTGCACCTGCCCAGTGCTGTTGCGTTTCCTCGGCGTTGACGGCTAATGGCATTCGGATGCACGAGCTGGACAGCTTCTTGTCGAACGTGAAGAGTTGGTTTTCACCCAGATATGGAATGGGTTGAGTTTGGGTTAAATTGGTCGTGAAAAACCCAATGTGAATTGTGTGCAGAGCAAAATGTCGTTGCACTCCAAAAGTAGTGTCACAAATATATTTGGTCTTATATTAGGGATAATCGGAAAAAGTGACAGGATTTGAAAGTTTCATCAGAACGTGAAAGGATATGTTTGACACACTCGGTGGTGAATCGCACAGCCGTAATTTACGTCTGTGACCAGTAGGTACAGGGAACTACTCTTGGCGATACAGAGCGCCGATGCGATGAAGAAGTAGGAGATTGATGTTGCAAAAGAAGGGATTGTATGCACTCTAGCGGAGTGGTGCATGCCCCAGTGTTCTGTGCTCCGAAGTGCGGGTTCGACTCTGACGTGGGTGCCGCCAAAGGTATATCGTGACAGCTTGAAGTAATTGTCGTGTACGTGTACTTGTTCGGATCTGGGCATATTTTGAATTCTGGTGCAGCTCGCTTCATCCTAGCTTAATCCTAGGTTTAGTTCGTTAGGTCAGACAGGTCATCGCTGGTGGGAGAACGCGCCACTTAAACAGCGATGACTTGAGGTAGCTTCGAACAAAGCAAACGGATTAGTCCCTGGTAGCTTATAATCTCGGTTAGCAAATCACAAAACACTTGGTCCCACGGGTCACCGAATGATCTTTGCAGTCTTTCAAACACTGCCAATGGAAAGGACACATTTGAGGGGAATTCATGATACAGGACACATCCGAAGAACCACGCAAATTTGTCGTAATCTTCATCTGGAGCCAAAGTGACTGTTGCTATTCAATTGACGAAGTTGCCGTCACGATCTACAAGTATCATCTTGACCCCATTTTTATCGTGATTGTAACGGGGCACCCTGAAGCTTGTACTGGTGACAGTACAAGCTACCTATTCTGATGACAGAATAAGGCGGTGCCTCGTAACTTCACGTACACTCGTACGTGCAGAGGAAGACGGTAAGAAGAAGCGAGTACTTGGTTAAAGTAAAAAGTAGAACTGTATTTAGTATAGTTAATGTCTGCAATAAATCACTATTTATCTTCATCTAACTATGTCTAAATACAAATGTGTAAATCAACTATCTGCTCACCACTCATTGCGTGCGTCTGTCGTGGCGCGTCTTCGTTGGTTGATATGATGGCCTATATCAACCAATTAGGAACTACTCGTAAGTGCTACAGAATATTTGTCCTTATGACAATATTCTGAGAATATAACTCTTATAAATATATTCTATTAACAATTTCTTATAAATTGTTATGTAACGATTCACCCCGTTACAGTGATGCTTCATGTGTGTCGTGTAAATATCTTGGCCATTGAGGAACCAGTTGGCATTTATACAAAAGTTGGTGCACCTGAAATGCTCCGACTTGTAGCACTTAAAAAAAGTGTGAATGCCCGGGAGAAGCCGCTGCAACTCGGCTGAGAAGATGGAAAGACGCGTAATTGTAGTCGGGTCCTTAAAACATTTGTGCCACGACGGTTTATTCTGCGCAATTCATTCTGCTCTTCGACGCGCTCATCCTCTCCTGTAACGCAACTGTGAGACAAGATCACGTGCGGGGAGTGATGTGTTGGAAGCGAGGGCGGACCGAACGACATGATAGGATGTGAACTGTTCGCAAGTTGGTTTCGCACGTCCCAAGCATTATACTGGTCAAGGCTGACCCGCGTCAAAACATGCCAGTTGCATGGGCCTCCTTTTTTCTTCGGTAGATGTCATCGCACCAAGTGCACCCTGTCGTCACACTGGACACTGAAGATTCTTGAACTGACCTCCTCGAGAGGTGACACATACTTCGGTTGGTGAAGCCCAAGTAGATGTTCTGAGTCATCCGCGTGTTTACCTGTCGTCCATCTCTTTTACATCAAGCGCTCCGCGTTGACGCATGCGTCGACACCCGAGTCTATCGTATCGAAAATCTTCTTCTGTTGTAGAACGCTTCTGCCTGTTATTCTTCCTCGGCTTGTCTCTGATATGTAATGGCTACATATAGCAAACCCGTAGTTTACGCTGCCGGTCTCCTGCACGCGATTCACCGTGTGTTATTAGCATATCCTGCCATGTTCTGATAAAACTTTCATATCCTGTCATCTTTCGCAATTATCCACTTATTTGAATTCTAAATTTGATATGTGCCTGCAACTTAGCTCGGCAGCTAGCTAAACCAAGCTTCATAAAGATATGAAACTCATAAACTATTAAACTAAGCCGCTTTATTGATAGCGCCAAAGCAGCGCGCCTTTCTTGAGCAGTGGTTGAACCAGTATCCGTCGACTTGTGCAATGTGTTGCACAAGTCGACGGATACTGGTTCAATCACTGCTCAAGAAAGGCGCGCTGCTTCGTCTGAAATGTGCCCCTTGAGCGACAGGTGCATCAGGGAGGTACGGTTGGGGTTCATCTCCTACTTTCTTGAAACAGAAAGTGTGAATCGACTGAGGTACAGTTGGTAAACGCGATCACCAGATTGCCGCAGAATGAGCGAAGAACAGCGAAGCGACCGAGGGCGACATCTAAGGCTCCATTTGAAAACGTACAGTGGTCATGATGGTCGATTGCAGCATCGGAATCGTCATCCTCGTACACATTGTGCAAATCAGACGAACTTGTTGACTGACTCCTCCGGTACGAAACAAGTAATGTGCATACAATACAGATCAAGCATAGGGGTCCAGTGTGACGATCTGCGCGGGGAGAACTGGCGGGGAGTCTTTGGCAATCAGAAAATTGAAGTGGTCACACTCCGCCTTCACAGCTTAGAATTCGGTAATTAGCTCCTTCACATCGGACACGATCTCAGCGAGGGTTATGTACTTGTCAGTCTCTTCCAGGCAATCATTTCAGTGTGTGGGGAAGGCTCTCTGGTCTCGGTATGGTCGAGAATAGAAAACGTGGAATTCCGTAAGCACCAACCACCGCGTGCCCACTTTGCATGCTCGGCATCCTCCTCGATGTTGGCCATTTCCAGGCTGGGCGCGAGGCTAAACATGCCGATAAGCGCGGCCAGAAGAATCTAAACGTGCTGATCATGTTGCGCGATCAGCAGAGACATTTTCTGAAGAATGGCAAGATTTGCATGACCCCTGACGATTGCGGGCGAGACGGCATGTGTCACGATACACCAGACGTCAGTGGTCCGGCGGGCAGCACGATTCTTTGCCATGCAGGCGATTATATTGCGGTGTTACGTATTGTAAAACGTCAGAATACGGTCCAGGTGAGCTCATCGATAAGTTTTTTGTGCACTTGAAGTTCCTGAAGATGATAAGAGTGTTCTTGGCCCATACGAAGACACTTAATATGCCCGCAAAAAATGATCCACGCGCCTTTCCAAGACGTGCTAAAGAAGGTTAGACGCGACCACGACGCGGACGAACTGGCTGGCAATGAACTCATTGAAGTCATGGAGCTTCGCTTTTTTTGTGTCCATGAATTTGAAGAAAATTTTGCTAGAGACAGCCATCGCAGTACCACTCGCGACCTCGTCGTCCCAACTAAAAATTCACCGAGAATTATTTAGGTGATGGCCGGCTGCACACTAAAAACCAGCGTGTCTGCAGCGAGAACTAGATGATGTTAAATTGTGTCCACGCGCTTCATCTCGTCAGCGAAGTATAACGAATCGTCGTCCGGGGCCAACTCAGCGTAGGCGGATCATGAAGAGTCATGCTGCAATACGATGCGGCTTACAAAGTTCTGAGGAGCGAATGGCTTGCAGTAGTACTGGGTGTAGACGCGATACTCGCAATTGCGCTCCATAGTGTTCCCAACTTGGAACTTGTCAAGGATTTACAATACACAAAAGAGGCAGAGGACGATCTGCAAATCATTTTAAAATGGGGCACACCTTATTCAGCTAACTTTAAAAAACCTTTACAGTGCTGAAAGTGCCCAGGGTGTGTGCGTCCGACTACCTAACGTACTAGTGCGTGCAGAGAAAGATTTCTGTACGGAGTAAGTGTACTTAGTAAAGATAAAAAGTACAGCTGTATTTAGTACAGTTTATCCTCTTCACAAATTCCTATTTGACTTCATTTAACTATGTCTGCATACAAACATGCATCGTAACTGTCTGCGCACCACTCACATCATACTTCTGTCAATGATATACTTTACTGGTTGATAAATCGATCCTATAATAACCAATGAGCAGTTTGTTCCATCTGCGAAGCAATATCATCCATTGGAATAATATTGTAAAAAGATTGTGTTTGTCCTTTCATAATATTTATACTTGAAAAATACCTTACGTAAATTATCATCTAGTGGAGGCACCCCATTACGATTATTCTCGGTTTTGACCAGCTCTGTGCCATATTACGGAGCGTGCTTTGCCTGGAACGGTATTTTTACCTTCTACTTTGGCGCGATTTTAATATGACGCAGCCATGATGCACCAACCTATTGAGGCACCCTGACTTTATGGACTCTGGCACAAACTTGAGAGGCCTACGCTAATCTATGTTGGTCGTAGCATAAATAGATTGATGCTTAACGTATCATACGGTTGTCGATTCATGGGATGGGATATAAGTTCATTTTTGGTGTTAATCCTCACCCGAAGCGCGAGCGCTGAAAAAGCTACTCAACTAATCAAAACGTGACGTCATCGAGATAACATCACCTAATGATTAGTCGAGTAGAGTTATTAGATGCACATCTATAGATTTATCAAATGCATTATGTGGTTGGATGCAGTCTTAGTAGGCAGAGGTGGGACCTATAAGTCAATTTCTTTTAGACATTCTCTCATCCACTCAAGTCACACTTTGGTGAAGACTTCTTTCGTGTTCCAATCTTCTTTTCAAATGCATGTAACTATGCACCATATTGGGTGCGCCAGTGAGCTGGGGAAGCAAGAAACAACCAAGTGTTTCGCTGTCAACGAGTGAAGAAGAGTACATGTCTCGACAGACGACAACAC